AGAGATCTTGAATTAGCAAATTGCCAATTGCTTATAGCAATTAGCTACTTCCTACTTCTACAAAAACACTATGTAAAATTACATTTTTATTATTGCCGATTATTATTCATAAATAAAAATAAGGTAGTAAAAAGTATTGTTTTGGTCTTGGTCCCTATTTGCTCTTAACTTGGTACAAAAATAAATATCGAAGTTAAGCAGGTTCAACTAAATGTTTTTAAATTGTTTAAAAACTTTTAAAAAATATTTCTCGACTGTCATTTATAGTTTTTGGCAAACAAATTTTGCCCCCCCCCCCTAGACAATTTTCTGTGGGTGCCCTTGGTATCCAGGGTTAAATTATACTATTATAGTATAAATTGTTTTTAAATTGTTTAAAAACTTTTAAAAAATATTTCTCGACTGTCATTTATAGTTTTTGGCAAACAAATTTTGCCCCCCCCCCCTAGACAATTTTCTGTGGGTGCCCTTGGTATCCAGGGTTAAATTATACTATTATAGTATACCTACACTTGTACTTCACTTGTAATTTTGATAATTTTAATAATATTTTTTTTATTTTTTTAAGAAAAATACTAAAATTCAAGCCTTAAAACATGGCAAACTAACTGTATACCACGCTAGAGGGGGGGAATATTTTTACCAAAATTATTTAAAGTAATCAAAGCAAAGTTTTACAGAATTTTCATGCACTTGTCATTTTCCCTGTATATAGTTTGATAAACGGCTTGCGTAGCAAGTGTTTAGAAAGGTTTATAAAACCAATTACATTCTCTACTTTTTACGACTAAGAATAAATTCTCAAAAATAAATAAATTAAATCTGACGGTTCTAACCTCACTTTATTTATTTTAACGATTGTATGACATTTGACAACTGTCAACTAACCTAAAACAAACTTCATCCCCTTGTCAATGTGCTACACTCGTGCATAATTAAATTTAAATTGACTTGTCACATAATATATTATTTTTCTATGTAATATAGATACTACTTGTATAATTAAATTTGTAAATGTATATATTTAATATATTATAAATGCTTACTTATCTAGATAATTTGATGGTATACGAGGTTATGTGACGAATTTAAAAATATGTTACTTACCAAAGGTTTTTCTTATTAATTTTAACAATACTTACATAATTGTAATTTTTATAGTTTTATGTTTTAACAATAATAATTGTATGTCTTTGTATTCTATTATGGGAAATAAACACATTTTATTATGGTGCAATTAAAAGTAATACTGTTTTTTGAAATAAAGCTATTGATCACGATTTAGTAATAAAAATAGAAAACAAAGTTTCTGCAAAAAATGGCGAATGCGCCGGGATATCAAAAAATATATTAAATATATTAAAATAAATTAAATTAAAAAAATGTATTATATATATTAAATTTTAATGTAATATGGAACATTTTTACAATAGCCCATTATTTTTATTGAACTTTTGTTAATTTTAATTGATTTTATAATCAATAAAAATCCAAAAATCCATTTTTGATCTTTAAAACATAAAAATATTGAAAATTAAAAAAAAAACTGATTAACCATTTTTCCTGTAAAAATAAATATGCATATTTTAATTTCTTCATATTGTAATAAAAATTATCAAACACTCGAAAAAAACATGATAAAGATCTTGTTATATCCTGTACTTTTACTCAAATCAAGATTATTTTGATATATTTAAGCCAAACTGCAATCATTAAATTTGAATTAGAAAATGTTTTACAGTGACCATTAAGTAACTGTGTTGTGCAAAATATAGGCACAAATTACGTTATATAATTTAATTAATAAATTTCGGATTAAGAAATCTTACAATCTACTTATCTCCCAATAGAAGAAACTTTTATATTGTGCGTTTTACGAAAAAAATCATTCTTTATAAAAACTGCTTGATTAAAAAATAAGATTTCCATAAAAAAATATGTAATATATATATATAAACGAAAAAATATATAACTAATAGGCAACTGGACACACTGCATATCTATGTAGTGTAAAGTTTTTTATCTACGCCAGTGAGATAAGAACTTCTTATCCCACTCATTTTGAGTGAGATAAGAAGTTCATTAACGCACGCGTTTTTCTCTGTTTTTAACCAATCAAATAAAAAAGTCAAAATGTCAAAATGTCAAAATAACCCTAAATTAAGTCTTAGACAAAAATAATTACCGTTTATTTTTTCATTTAGAGGCGTAGATAAAAATTTGTACAATATACGTGTGATAACGCTTTATTAACGTACTTTTGCGATTGCCCAAATTTCGCATTCGTACGTTAATAAAGCTCTTATCCCACTTATATCGTAAATAACTATTATTTAATTTTTTCTTTAGTGTTCTTTTGGACGATTTTGTCTATTTACCTAATGGGTATTTCCACGAAATCTTACCCTACCTTGACAAAAATCAGATGTGTTATTTAACAAAATAAAAACTATATCTGAAGTCAAATAGTTTGATTGGGACGTAATTTATAACCTTAAAATATTTTTACATTGTAATTTATAACCTTAAAATATTCTTACATTGTGATGCTAAGAAACTAACATTAAGAATAAACACGGAAGAGTTTCAATACTCGATAAAATGTTCAAATGTCGCACCCGTTACATTTTGATAAAATTTTAGAAAATAAAGTACCTATACAATATTTGTGCATTTTAAATAGGTTACTATTCAAGTTTTACACAAAAAATTATTACTATATGCTTTCATCCAAAATTTTACAGTATCAACTTTAGAAGCCAACTTGGCATTTGCCGATTTTCTAAGGTCGCCCCCGTTACGCAGATTCATGACGTTATAAAATATTTTCTATACGAGTTTTTATTGATATTTTGATTGAGTTAAATATCTAATTTTTTATACTATTTTTGTATATTTAAAACGTATCTTAAAATATGGGTGATTCCACAAAAGTTGGGCAACTTTTGACCTCATTTTGTTTATGTTTTCGGAGAAAATTAAACAGTATTTTGTTATGAGAACATATATAATATAATAAATATACTGTTCCAGACCGGGCCAGTCACTTTTTCAAACAGTTTCTGAAATATCTGTGTTTTCTGAATTTGAATGCAAGGGAAGTGACAAGTATACCAGGGTACTAATTAAAAACATAATTTATTGGAAAATATAAGATTTATTGCAACTTTAAGCATATTATACATTAAATATCTTAAAATCAAATAATACCACACATCAGTGGCGGCTGGTGGATTTTGGGTATACCGATATCTCAATAATTAGATATGGGACCCACACCAAATTTATATGAGTTTATAATAATATTAAATAAAGTTCTGCGCAAGCAGATTTTAAATTGAAGTTTGCGAAAAAAAGATATCCGAAACATCGAACATGGAACTGACGACACGGTACTGATGAATGGAAAACAAATTTGAGATTATAATTCGGAATTAAGTATTTAACTGATATTTTTTATTAGTGGATGCTACTTATCAACAAATAGCCTTATATAAATTACAATGAAATATATATACGTAAGAAAATAACTACTCACCACAGTACTGAAATTTTGACTGGAACTATACGTGCATTCACCACAACTTCGCAGCTTGCATTATTTTCAAGATGACGGTCGTGCAAAGGGCGGGCTCTGTAGGTATTTTTTTACCAACACTTGAGTTAAAACGAGGACTTGACGTTTAAACTTCAATATTTCGCAGGAATTTTGAATTTTAACATTGGACACAGAACTGACGGGTAAAAGTGAGTACAAAGATTATCAATTTTTTAAAAATTGCTATTACTCGAATCTATGATAAAATATGAAATAGTTATTTGTTTTACAAGTGTTGAAAAGCGACTTTTTCATGCGAGTTTTTAAGTTGCCCACGAGGCCGTTAGGCCGAGTGTGCATTAACACGAGCTTGAAGAAAGCTTTTCTCACAAGTATAACAATGTTTTTTATGCGACCCTTTTATTTTTTATTATTTATAAATACAAAACAAAATAACCTAAAAACTTTTTTGACAGCTGAATGTCAAACGATGCTGTCAATTTCTTAAGAAATTTTCACACAGACTTGTCACTTTTCACACAGAAATGTCACTTTACATTCGTGTTTTGCCTTGCCAATGAAAAGATTCATTTTCTAAGCAACGATGCCAACATGAAAAGTGACTTTTACATAGTGGTCGTAGAAAAAATACATTATTTAATGTTTGTAGTGAAATTTAAGATAAATTACCAATGTACTGATGTTTTGAATATTTATTTTGTTTTTCTACAAACGTTCTTTTGAAAAAATACATTAAAATGGGTGGATAAGTTAAAAAAACCTGGATCTTTTGTAATATAATAAAATATTTACAAAAAATATTAAAATACCTACTCTATTGACTGACATAAAGTTGTCCAACTTTTGTAGAATCACCCATATATGAACATTATATATTCATTATCATGAAAAAACGCAGTGTCAGTGTCACACCCGTTACAATGGAAACACCCTAAGGTAAGTCACCTTATAAGTTTTTGTAACCTCATTTCGAATAACGTTAAAACTAGATCTAAATGAATTTTTACTCCAATCTATTTTATTTATTTCTGAAAACTTTATTTTTACATAATAAAATTGACAATAAAAAGAAACCTATACTTAAATACAATTGAGGAGTTGTCAAACAAAACTCAGTAAATTTATTTATTTTTAAACAGTAATAAATCCAATATTTTTTTACCAATAACTTATCATAAATAATTTAAATATTATTTGTGATTTCTCTGAACCACTTTTGATTACCTAAAACCATTTTCAAAAATAATTAAGACATATAATCTAGCAGAACATTTTCGCGATTTATTAAAAATTAACTGAGAGTGGATTAATTGTGTTTTATTTGATTGTTTACAGTTTTTGTACATTTAAAAAAAATAGTGATTATTATGTACTTTGCTAATATACCATTAAATAAAACTATAAAAATTGCACAGTTCTTATATCAAAAAAATGGACTTACTTTTTATTTTTTTGGATGTTGTCGTTGATTTTTTTGGTGACTGTGCTTGCCGAGCCTCCCATTTCGAGTGTTTCGTCCCACTTTTATTCAACACTTGTATTTCTTTCAGCGTTTGCTGATCGAATGATTGGCTTAGCGACTATAGCTAGGTTCTCGAATTGAACGCCTCAAGTAATTAATATTTTCAAGGTATTTTACTAATAATAAATTTATATAATTATGTTGTGTAGATTTTTATGCTTCGTTGAAACAGATTTTTTGCATCATTTTGTTCACCTGTTTGTATGTTAAACCGAGATGTTTTACTTAAGACAGGTTTTGGATTTCGAGTTTTTAATTTAATTCTAGATTGTAAATTAAACACTTTTTAAAACACACAATACGTGTGTTTTAAAAAATTAAACTGGTAAATTGGGTTGTATACAATATATTTCCGAAATTTTTATTTAAATAATTATTTGAGCGATAAGGTATAATTTAAAATAACTAATAAATAATAGGTTTAGCTTTTACTTAGTTTTAAACCAAGTTCAAATTTGGCAACCGAGGATTTAATTAAAGTTAAACTTCAACTGAACTCAAATTGTACAATCAGGTCTAAAAGAACAGGGTCATTTAACTTGAAACTTTTTAACTTCAAAGTTTGAAATATCCCAGTTGGTATGCATTTTACGAAAAAATGTTTAAAATAAAAATTAAAGGATTCGGGGGGGGGAAGTCGATCAGTACTAAAATTGGTCCTCATACTCTCCTCCTTATAGGGGGATCAGGGGTTAACTTTAAAATTTCCAAAGGAACTAAAAAGGAACTAAAAAGGTAGATTTTGTCTAAACATTTTTTTATATTTGTAATAGATGGCGCTGTAATGAAAAAAAATAATTTTGTTCGATTTTAGTAAGTAAAAAAATTTAAAAAATTACCATAAGTTCAACTTTAATAACTTTTAAAATAGTGAATTTATCGAAAAATCATAGGAAAACTTTTTTGAACAGCGTTAAATTTCATATAAAAATATGTGTATCTCATCTCTGCAGGGCCGGGCCTAAGGGGGGTGTAGGGGGGGGAGTCACCCCCCCAAAGTCTTGGCAGTTGGTTCCAAATCCAAACACGGTTGGCAAAATCTATAGTATTTGGGTCGGTTGGTTGGGTATACCTACCCTACCAACCAACCCATCACAATAAATAAAATGAAATATAATTTTTAAACTTTACCTACATATTACAAAATTATAATTTTTAATCTATTGTAACCTCCTATAATCGTTACCGTCAAGAAAATTGTATTGGTCAACCTTATTCAGGGTTCCCAGCATTGTTTTGTACTTTTTTTTATGATTTTATGACAAATTTTTCAAATTTTATTACATTTTTTATGACAAGAATTTATTATTTCTAAAGTTATTTAATAAAATAAATGTAATTTTTTAATGGTTTATTATATAAAAATAAATATTTTTTCTCACATCAAAATAAATATTTCTGCTATAATATTTTTAATATACCTATGTTACTTTAGTATTTTATTTTAATAGGTATTATAATCTCAAAATAAATAAAACCACAAAGGTATACAAATCTGAAATATTGGAGGCTCAAACAATGATAAACATGGGTCTCAAAAAAGCAGAAAAAAATAGTATATATACCTATAGGTACTATTTTTTTTGCTTTTTTAGACCCATGTTAATCATTGTTTGAGCCTCCAATATTACAGATTTTTTAAGAGTAGTTATGTAGTTATTGTTAAGGTACTTCGATAATTTCTTATTTCCTTCAGAAATCATATTTCTTGTTATTTTTAACTCTGCTTCCTTACTTGCCAAAATAGTATCAATTTCTTCAAGTCTTTTTTTGTGCCTTCCTTAGTAAAGTAATATACCTAGTATAAAAATAAATTTACCTTTCTCATTATTTATTTCAAATTTAAAATTCATTTCCTAACCTAACTTCTTTTTCCTTCATAGTATGAAGTTCATACGTCAACAACCAAGGCCATATTTAAAACATTTTATTGCGTTTTAAGGCGCATTCATGCTCACTAAAATAAGAAATAAGAAATAAGAATAAGAAATAAGAAATAAGATAAAAAGTTAAAACTGTGTAAAGTAATGGTTGCGTTCATGCTCATGAAAATAAGGAATAAGAAATAAGAATAAAGATAACAATTTTTAACTTTGGTTCTTATTTTTGCGTATAAAACTGCGCAAAGAACCAAAATGGGTCTGTGAATTATTTTGATGGGTTTTATTTGTTATATGCATGGAGCCATGGTGTTGGAAATCGCGTAGAGTGTCGCTGTCGATTGTTTACGTTTATAGCCAATATAATCCACTATAATAAAATATAATTGTGTGACAACATTTTTTATTTCTTAGGTTATCAGCATGAACGATCAATCGCGGTCTTATTTCTTATTTCTTATTCCTTATTTCTTATTTCTTATTCTTATTTCTTATTTTAAGTGAGCATGAATACGCCTTTATTCTACAGGACCGGCTTTAAATTTTATTTTACAAAATTTCCAGTTTATAAAAAAGATGAAAGGTGAGAAAATTGTTAAAAAATAATGAAATTTTATGATTTCTATGACAAAATGTGAATTTTATGACATTTTAGGACAATTTAACCAATTTTATGATATTTAAAAATTTTATGACAAACGGGAACCCTGCTTATTTTTATTAAAGGACATTATATTTCACACAAGCGGCATGTACAAAGTCGGCACCGCCTCGCGGCTTTGTCTTTCTAAATTATTAATTAGTTGAAGCTTATCTAAGCTAAGTAAAACTAGTGTCAATAAATAGGAATTATTTTTTTTAATATGGAAAAGAAAGCTAGACCGGGCCGAGTTCTAGTAAAATGCTCATTATGTGGATCTGTGTTTAACAAGGACTAGAGAAAAATGCACGAGGAAAATATTCACGGTGGAAATTTGGTTAAAATTAAAATTGTTACTGTTCCGGATAATCCACTTACATTGGTAGCAAATAAAAAAAATAGAGACTTCAAAAGAGCATGCTAATGGTAGGTAAAGACATTCTTTATCTACACTTTACAACACTTTACATTCATGATAAAACTACTGAAAATTTTTACTATTACTAGGTACTAAAGTATCGATAAAAAATAAGTTGGTTTTTTTTATCGTCTCCACCCCCCAACAAAGTGTGCCTCGGTACGCCCCTGCATCTCTGTATAAAACGTGCCGAAACGACATGTTATTTAAATGGGAAGTGAATCGTCTTTGTGGCAGGGTTTAATATGAATATTAAGGGCTTATATGAGTCTGATCATTTTTTTAGGTCATAAACTAAAAATTTAGGGAGCGCTGCGAAAAAAAAACAAGTTGGTAAATAACGGACACCCTAATACATACTGTTAATAATTTCTTTTTATACCCGGCGCATTCGCCAAAATTGCAGTTTGTGTACAAAAATCAAAACAAGATCATTCAATTGTTATAATCATTAATTATAATAATTATTAACAAATTTAAACTTTTTACTTTTAAAACTGCATTAGAAAATTGCTTTCCGTATCAATAGATATAGATTCTTCTCCATATACAGGGTGTTATGTAATTAATGTTATATATTAAAATACTGAATACCTTTTGACATAAGGAATAAAGGAAAAATATTTAAAAAAACATTTTTCCAAAGATAAAGAAAAAATATGCATTAGAAGTTTTTTATATTTTTTGTGATACGCCACTGGTTACACACTTGTTTATTCTGCACACCTGTATTTTGTGAGTACATAGATACCAACCAACAAAGTAGCTATGCGTTGCCAGATGTAAAAAATTGTTACTAAAAATTTTTCTTGCAAAAAATAAATAAAAACTCAATAAATACAAAAGTTTTATGCCCTTAAAGCTCTAATACCCTTCTGTATTTATTTACTGATCCAGCTATTAGCTTAAGCAATGATTAGAAAATTTAGTACCTTTGAAATTTGAAATCCATAACCACAAAATTAATTTTTTCATCAGTTTTTTTCTCTGTTTACTCAGATGAAGTTGGGACCAGTTCACAGGTTAAACTTTAAACATTTAATTTGTGTAAATAAATCCAAAAGCACTTCCTTAGTTAAGATATTTACAATTTTAAAACATAACCTAAAATTTAAAAGAAATGCACTAGATTCTGTCATAAAAGTTGGCAGATTTTGTTTGAATTTACCTTCAGTACAAAAATGAAAAAACCAACAATTAATAAAACCGCCAAATTGACAATTTGCATTGTTAATTTTGTCATTTTTGTAATTAAGCTAAATTTAAACAATGTTTGTCAACTTTTTTGAGAGATTTTGGAAACACTGTTACCAACCATAACATAATAAATCCACCAGATTAACCTAAAGTTCCTAGTCGATCAGTGGCGTACTTTTTGGTAGGATAAAGGTTATTATAAATTATTTTTAGACTTTGGAATTTAGAAAAAAAAAGTTTCAGGTGCTTCTTTATGGACCCTAAGGAACAACCCATTTTAATATATAACATTAATTACATAAAAAGTAAAATATTAAATTAATAAAAACCTTACCCATAAATCTATATTTTATTATAATTATAATTATTATAAAATTTTTAATAATTATTAAACTTAAAAACCAATTATCAGGAAAAACTTATAACGTGGATCCACGTTAGTACTAAGCATGGGTAAGTTAACTATCTTATTTCGTCAGTTTTAACAGCTAGCAAAAAAATAGCAGGTTTAAATTCCCCATAACGTCTGAATTAAAAAAGGCTTCCTTTAACCGTATTCAAATAAAAAATTAAAAATAAATTTATTATTGAAAATTACAAATTCTCGATTTTTTACGATATCTCGAAAATTAAAAAAGATAAGTCGAATTTCTTATTGGATAACTGATCGGCGTAAAAATGAGCAAGTTTTTCATAATTTATCCAACTGTATCTCTAAAGATAAGCGAGATGCGTAGCCCCAAAAACCGGTAAGGGTGTATAATAAAGTGTATCTCAAATTTTAATCAGAAAAATGTAATAGTCAATAGAACTGGCAGAAATAAGAAGAAAAGTTTAAATGATATATATAAATATATAAATAATATGCTTTAAAGCTTTGTTTTCGAGATAAAAGGTGTTTAAGTTACTAAAATAAAAGTGTGGTCACGCCACTGATTTTTAATAAGTTTGTTATTATATTAAAATTAGGCAATTAAAAATACATATTTTTTGTATCTTGCACTTTTTTCGCTGTTCCCTATTTTCATAAAAATAATACAAGGGTATTATTTTCACAGAAAAAGAATATTTTTATTTCTATGCCTATTCTTGTGTGAGATTGGGATTTCACGCGCCTCGCTTTAAATTATTAATTATTAAATGTAATACTTTTAATAGAGTGCCAGTGCGATGACAGAGTAAACTGTCTGGAAAAACTTATTAAAAATATTACATTTACCGAAAAACAAAATGTTTGATTTACCGCTGACTGAATCGTGCAGAAACAAAAAAAAACCTCTCGATATTTTAATAAAAAAATCTATGACAATTATAAATGGCTCTGCGGGTGGAGTCATAAACATAAAATATATTGTTGGCTATGCCTTATCTTGGGCAAAGAATTGTTTTATTCTGTTGCATACCCCATTTTAAATAGCACTGCAAGCCACTGACTTATATTAAAAATAATTGTCGCTAGAAAAAAAATTTATTAAATTGGTACTCTATGGAGAAAAATCCAAAGATTAAATTTTAATTCGGAAAACAGAGTATTACCAACAAATTAAAAAATACAGATTTTTATTTTTTGCACCTAAAAGATAAAACCTTATATAATAAATATGTAATTTTTTTAAAATTGTATAAAATTAAAAAACATACTAAACCAGTTTATAAATGGAAACTTTAAGATTCTTTAAATTTACATAATACGTGGATATAGTTTTCTATTGTAAGTATTCAAAACAACACAATAAATTTCATTAATTTTATTGTTATTTATTTATAGCAGTTTTAATGGATATATTATATAATAAACAAAAACTTGACATTCGTTCTGAACATAATTAAAGTTTAACACCCTGTATCTCAGAAGAAGCGTTTTAGTTCGTTTCCTAACAAAAAACTTTTAATTGAATGACATATTGCGCCCTTAGGGTTTTACAGTTAAAATAAAAAAAAATAGTTACCGTTTATTAATCCTATGTTCATCAATATTTTCACAACACAATTTGGCCACACTAGCTGTTGAACCCATATTAAAACATAAACAATAACGCACACGGACTTAATAAACAAAACTTTCACAGATTCATTTAAAAACGTATTAGAGCAAATCTTATTATTGTATAATTAAAGAAAATGTTTCAAAATTAAACACTAAATTTAACGTATGCTCGAGAAATCGCACAAGATTCAATTAAATGTAAAAATAAGTATAAATAATCGATAAATAGATGGGGAATGATTATTTATTTAAAGTTATTGATTGAGTGCATCCCGAGTTATTTATAATTTAAAATAGAGAACGATTATAATTATACATTGCATTAATTTACAACTTTAAAATAAAGGTTTTAACCGCCTCATTGTGTCCAAAAAATGGCGCCCTAAAAATAGGAACCAAAATTCTGGCAAGTAAAGATTTGAAACAGGTTAACCTTAGCTGCCTTATTTGAATGGTTTCCGTAATAACGCACACATTGTTGCCAAATAGGGTTTTAAAATTTCCGGAAAAATTATGCCGACGGAAAAATTTGGTTTTGCATTTTTTTCATTACATTCAAAGGGTATTGCAAAAGTCAATTTTTCTAAAAATTTCCACATTTTTACGGATACTATCCTATCGAGAAAAATTATGATTATTGGTCCAGGAAATCGTCCATTCGGTTATATTGGATTAACGTAAGGTTTGGGATCGATTACTTTTAAAGTTGGGCTATAATAAAATAAAAAAAAACAAAAAAGTGATTTTGAAATCAACGCTCAACTTTGCACACTGCGCATAGCAAAAGGGCACATCATATAGGTGCACAATGGGGTTTAACGTGTGCCTTATTTAGTATATAATCAAAAGTATAAGAGGTCAAATTCTGAAAAAATGCACGGTTAGCGAGTTATGAACCAAAAAGCAAAAAAACTCCCCTTTCGGGGGATGAAATTAGGGGACGCGAAAATAAATTTTTGGGGAATATTCTTGATTCATTATCAGAACCCCTGACTACATAAAAAAATAAAACCTGTCTACCATCGAGTTTTCCTTCTTCAACCTTTGTTTCCTGGACTATATAATAATTAGGGATGGGATATTTAGGTACTAAAAACTGAAAAATAGGTAACTAAAAAGGTACTAAAAAAAAGCATTTTAGGTTAAAAAAAAACAGCATTTTAGGTAAAAAAAAAACATTTTAAGTTTCGTTTATAATTTTGTTTAGCCGCATACCCAAACACAGAACAATAAACTATTTGTTATATGACTATTTCTATGCAATAAGCTGTGTTTTACTGAGTGACACTCACTACACAGAAGTTCTATGACAGAACATAAGCTCAGTAGACTAGTGACACTAGTAGTGAGTCACTACAAAGAAGGTAACTGTAAAGAAAGTTACTGTTACAGTCTGTAACCATAAGAAAAAATTCTATACCGTTGAGTTGCACGCCCTGGATAAAATATTGGCGCAAATTTTAAAAAGAACAAAAAAAATAAAATAAGTAAAAATACAAACAAAAAAAACAAACAAAACAAAAAACAAACTGACAAATTAAAAAATATGTAACAAACGTATAAAAAGGTAGTTTAAAGCAAAAACCTCAAAAAAAGGTAAAAAAGGTGAAAAAAAGTTAAAAAAAATAGGTAAAAAAGTATAAAAAAGGTAGTTAAAAGCAAAAACCTGCAAAAAAGGTAAAAAAGGTGAAAACAAGTTAGGTTCATATAAAAGAAAATCTTTTAAAACACATTTTGGCATTATTGGTTTTCAAATAGTTACATCGGTTAAAAAAAGGTAAAATAACTAAAATCCCATCCCTAATAATAATTATTCATTTTATTTTAATTCAGTAAGAATATTCTACCGGGTCGCAAAAAAACATATTTGGTGCTGTATTAACATAACTTTTCTTTTATTTGACACTTCAGTTTATAAAATTATAATTATGTAATTTAACTTTATAAATCATTCATTATTGGAATTGAATATTTTCAATGAACTCCTTTTTGCAAAAAAGACCCAACCGACGTTTACGTTTATTTTCTTAAATAAATTTAATTTTATTCAATGTCTAGTTTTATTAATATTTTTTCGGTAAGGATATTTTTTTTTTAATTAAAATATTAAGTTGTTGATTGCTACTTTTTCAAATGTATATATTTTCCAACAAAAAAATTTAATTTTTCCAAAAAAGCCATCCCCCCCCAATTTTTCCGTTTTTTTCCGACCCTATTGCCAAGTACACGAAAAATTTTTTATGGAAAAAAAACCTGAAAAATTATATAAAATTAGTGAAAATGGACCAATGGATACTAAATTTACGGAAATAAAATACTTAAAAACAGTGAGATAATATTTATTTAATCTTAATGTAATTACAATTACATTACAAGAGTAGGTAATCAAAATGACCAGAAAACAATACTGTTATTACAATTACAATGGTAATATTGCTTCATAATTTGACATAAATACTGAAAAATAAAAAAATACTTGCCAATAAAAATCCGAATATAATTATCGTCCTTTTCAAGGACATTAATTAATTAAGTACATAATAAATACGTTTTACATATGGCACAAAATATACATGTATAATATGGGTCCTGTAAATTTTAAAACATAAAAAGATTCGTTAAATATTAAAAGTACAAATAAATTAACTTACCTAACAATTATTTCAAAAAGAAAATTCTAAATCAATAAAAAAAAATCTATAAATAAATTATCACTGCCTGCAGATTAATTAATTTCACAACAATAATAATTATTATTTTAGCTTATTTGTGGCCCAATTTGGTGGGTTCCAGGGGCTTTGTTTTGATGTATTTGGCGGTGGGCCACTGCCATGTGATGGGCAAAGATGGCTCGTAGTTGTAGTTGTACTGGTGAGATTCAATGTATGCCCTTTTGTCTTTTGGCTCTGGGTACACGGAAGCGATACCTGAACAATTATAAAAAATGCTTTAAAAGCAAGCATTTAAAAAAATATACCAGACATTTTATCTGGTCGTTTATTTAGTTTCATTTTACCTATTCTTGTTTTTTTAATAAACAAATTGAAAAATAAATATTAATAAGGCCGATATTAGGCATATAACGTAACAATCACGACTGGTGGTAGGTCGTTATTTTTCAATGAAATTTGTATACAGTTTTTCTACCGAAATCGATGTGACCCGTATTATTTCTTTTTGCTTAAACTTGTTTGGTTTACCCGTAGAAAATTTTTAAAAAATGGACAGAAACATCGATTTTTCTCAAAAATGATTTGATCGTTAAATTTTTTTTTAACTGTACAAAGATAATATAAAAAATTTAGTGAATTCACAATTTTTTTTAAATTGTTTTTTCTACAAAGGCAAAAATTAGGTCAAAATTTTGATATTGCCACATTTTTTTCACTTATATATACATATTTTTTTTCGTTTGAAGTTGATAATATGAACAACTTTCACCAAAAGTCCCGAGTTGGCTAAATTCGTCGTTTTGGAATTATTATTTTTTAATGAAAATTCCATTTTCTAGTAAATTCGTGGTTCATCGCAAAAATTTTGTATTTTATCTAGGGTTATCTAGGGTATATTTTTTCCAGACGACTTGGCACTTGAAGCAGAAAACCCAATTCAAGGCACTTCAGATATATAAATAAAATTTAATCAAAAAATGATTTGAACTGTCAAAAAATGACAAATACTCAGAATGTTATTCTGAATCGAAATATGTAAAAATGCATAAGGTGTTTCATTAAACAATAAAAAGTTAAGATCATTTCCGGTGACACCAGAAGTGATAAAAATATGTTAAATACGTCAAAAAGTTCCCTAGAGAAAATACGAAATTTTTGCGATGAACCAAGAATTTTGTAGAAAATGGCATTTTCATTGAAAAAATAATAATTCCGAAACGACGAATTTAGCCAACTCGGGAATTTTGGTGAAAGTTGTTTTTATTATCAACTTCTAACGAAAAAAATATAAAATAAAAATGTGGCACTTTCAAGATTTGACATACATTTTTTTGGCCTTTTTTAGAAAAAACAAGTGAATTCACTTAATTTTTTTTATTTTTTGTATATAGTAAATATTTACCTACAATTTAAAAAAAATGTAACGATCAAAACATTTTTGGCCAAGAAAAAATGTCAAATCAATGTTTCTGTGTATTTTTCAAAAACCAATTTAAGCAAAAAGAAAAAATACGGGTCTTACTGATTTCGGTAAAGAATCTGTAAAAAAAATCGTTAAAAATAACAACCTGCCTGCTAGATTTGAGATGGGATGGTCAAATTTAAAAAAAGTCAAGCTAGCAAAACCAACTGGGCGTTGATAGCTATTGGTAACGGTTGTTTATTTGTAAAATTCGTTAAAAAACGTGATGACTTTCAAGAAGATATCAAAGAAAATATTCGTGCTAAAGCGGCCGCATTAACTTTATTGCCAGAAAAGACTCACTTCAAATTTGGCTCAGCAGGAAAAAAGTGGAAACAATAACCGAAGATGTTTTACTGCTATGTTTCTGAGCTATCAAAAAGTTACACTTTATGGACAAGTATGATTAACTTCTTGTTGATAAAATTGTTTGTAACGATTTTAAAGATATAAACTTTTCACATTCTTGAAGAGAAAGTCGGAGCGATACACACCAAAAAAAGCTTTGACATTATCAGCAGAGCAATAACGCGTTTTCTTGCGGAATCTTCGGAAAGTCAATTTTTACCAGAGAAAAATGTAGTAATTTTTTAATCCGCAAGTAAATCGTTTTCTTGACAATTGATAACATTGAAGACGTTGGAGGCTTTATAATTTTGAAACAACAAGACACAAAAAATAAATCTTCCCAAAAGTTCACTATTACTGGTTTTGTCCTGGTTTTGCAGATTTGGTCTTGGTTTATATTAAATTTTTATTGACGATATTAGCAATTTTTTTAAAAAGTGGTCGGGGCTCAGGTTAAAAATTAATTTAAAAATCTAAAACTCTGGAAGTACTTTTAGAAGAGTAAAAAGGTAAAAAAAACTAGTTTGAAAAAAAAAATATATAAAAAATTAGAACTTTTTTCACTTTTTTAGGATTTGATTTTTTATTTAAAAAAAAGTGGTCGGTGCTGACTAAAAGTTAATTTAAAAAAGCAAGAAAAAAACTCGTTTGAATTTTTTTTAAATTTTGAGTTTTTCCACTTTTTTAGGATTTGTTCTATTTTTTTTAAAGTGGTTGGGGCATGAGTTTAAAATTAATTTAAAAATCAAAAACTTTGGAAGTACACTTAGAAGTGCAAAAAAGTAAAAAAAAACTCGTTTAAAAAAGAACAATTATGACTGTTTTCACTTTTTTAGGATTTGATCTATTATTTTTTTTTTTAAAGATCGGGCACAGGTCAAAAATTAATTAACAAATCTGAATTTTTGAAAGTACCTTCAGGATAGTAAAAAAGTAAGAAAAAACCTTGTTTGAATTTTTTTTAAATTTTGAGATTTTCCACTTTTTTAGGATTTGTTCTAATTTTTTTAAAGTGGCCAGGGCTTAGGTTAAATTTAATTTACAAATCTGAATTTTTGGGAGTAACTTCAGGATAGTAAAAAAGTAAGAAATAACCTTGTTTGAATTTTATTTTTAAATTATGAGTTTTTCCCACTGTTTTAGTATTTGTTCTAAATTTGTTATTAAAAGTGGTCTATGCTCAGGTTTAAAATTAATTTACAAATCTGAATTTTTAGGAGTACCTTAAGGATAGTAAAAAAGTAAAAAAAAAACTCGTTTGAATTTCCTACTTTTTTATGATTTGTTTTAGTTTTTTTTTAGTAAATGTGGTCAGAGCTCAGGTTCAAAATTAATTTAAAAATCTGAATTTTTGGGAGTACCTTCAGGATAATTTTTTTATTATTGACGTTACTAGCACATCTTTTTTTCAAATAATAAATATTAAATAAAATAAATTTTGTTTATTTTTTGGGGGACAAGAAGGGGCATGTTGTGTCCTGGTTTTTAATTTTAGAAAGTTGGTCACCTTAAAAATAGGAGTTCAACAAAAAGTTGCAAACTTTTAAACTTGGAGAATTCTGAATGTTACAAAGGGTCTCATAACCTTTAAACAATTTAGGGACTGGAAATCTTCAGCTGTTCAGCAACAGTATGTTAAACAATCAGTTCAGCTGTTCAAAATCAACGGAAAATGATTCCTTAAGAACATCCCCAAGTGATCGCGTAGAAAGAAACTGTCGATAAAAAATAATTTTGTATTGTGTATGTTCTGTGGTAAATATAAATTTTACCAAAGCAAGGTTAAAATGTTAAAAAAAATAGTTCTACAAAATTTGTAGTATAAATATGGAGAAGTGTTTCTATAGTTTTATAGACTAAAAATTGTTATACATTTGAATAAAAAATGTCATTTTTTAAATTAATTTCACTTACGTTCTTGGTATGCATAATCCAAAATCTTAATAGCGATCTGCATGGAGCACTCCTTAATCACGCTTAAGGGTGGGTATAGACTGCCCTTGGCCAAGTCTTCCTCGGTTACGTTATTCGCGACACATTCTGCCGCAATGAGGAAAAGCTCCTCCCTGATGTGGTGGATGCCTCCCAGAATCACTCCCAAGGATACTCCGGGGAAGATGTAGGCGTTGTTACCTTGGCCCGGTTGAAATACTTTGTCGCCGAATTTCACCGGAGGGAAGGGGGAGCCGCTCGAGAAGATGCATCTTCCCTAAAAACATTTTGTGTGAATTTACCTTAATTACAGAAATGACACAATTAACAATAATTAAATAGTTTTTCACTAAAGAGAGGAATGCAAAAGTCCTACTCGACAAATTTTGTTCGCAGAGTTTCAATTGCACAACTAAATCGTTGCATTTTCATGTTTTGCCAAAGGATAAAATTTGGTACGTATATTTGTTGGTGCAAAATGAACTAGTGATAACTTTACCTAATTTAATTATTATTGAAGTTTGGACATTTTTAAGAAATCAAACAAAAATAATAGTTGTACAAACATAACCAAAAAATCAAATTTTTATATTTGTGACGTCTAAAAAACCGCCGCTAAACGACAAAATATATCTACGAATTCATGGCAACATAATATTATATATAAAACATAATATAATACACGTTTTTGGTATTTTACCGTTTAGTGGAGACTTTCTCAATCAACGCTTTTAATAACGCAAAATGCAGTTTGAATTTAGGCGACTTATTTGTTTTATGATTTTTACTTAATTGAAATGTTTACAATTTTCACGTAAATCATTACTAAAATGTGTATTTATTGTATAATTTATATTAGTCTCTGTTTGCAATTTATTTCTTCATTCGGATTTCCACTGTTTATTGGGAAACCGGTAAAAACTCAACCCAGGATTTCCTCTCGAAAAACATCCAACAACAAAAAAATCGTTCCTCATTTTTTTCTCGATATTTTTAACATTTTTCGGCCTTATTCTCAAGTAAGTCTTTATAAGAAATTAAAATTTACTGAAAACATTATTACCGAAAAAATGGAAATTTTGGGAAAAATTTTTATAAATTATATTAAATATTATTATTTCAAATTTTATTTAAAAATTATTTGAATATAAAAACATTTTCCGGAAAAAACGAAAAAATTGGGACATTTTCAGAAAAATTGACTTTTCCATTTTTTTCCTTTTATTCAAAGGGTAATGGAAAAAAATGCAAAAGTCAATGTTTCTGAAAATTTTCAAATTTTTACAAATGAGAAAAAAATTGAATTTCCGACGCTGATCATATAATATTATAATTATAATAAATATTCCTTTTTATTTAAATTCAGTAAAAATATTCTACCGGGCCGCAAAAAACATATTTGGTGCTGTATTAACATAACTTTCGTTTTATTATAATTTTGTAATTTAACTTTTATTCATTATTTCCTTATTGGATATTTTCAATGGATTTAATACAATTTAGTTTTATCTTTTTTTCTGTAATAAAGGATATTTCTTTTAAATTAAAATATTGTTAAAATATTGAATGGTACTTTTTGTCAAAAATAATAGCAACGAATTCGAATGTAAAAGCCCTTTTGAGGGAAAACTTCATTTTGATGAAATTATGCCAAATGCCACAATGGAAGAAAAAGTACATCGCCTTTTGGACATTTTTGGAGTAAAAAAAGTAACAAATTTGGTTTTATAAATATTACATCACACATTATTTTCACATTATTCACCATTGAACAACATTTACGTTCACAAAAAATTTTAATTTCTTTTATATAAATTCTTTTTAAAGCAAAGATTAGTATCCGCTAGGAATACTCTCTCTTCTGGGCCGTAAAGCAACCTATATTTAACTACTTTTTTATATGATTTTACTCATCCAAGCACCACCAAAGCCAAATTAATTGCATTTTTAACTATGAATTTCGACAACTCAACTTGACAACTGCACAATGTAACCTACAATAATTTATACATAACCACAATTAGATTTATAACTAGCTTAGTTTGTTTTAATCAATGCGACCAACTTGACAACTGTATTTACCAACCAAAACCCTAATTTGCAAAGTTGCCGCAGTTCAGATAAAAAAAAATGAACTTTATGTGATGACGGTACGTTTGAGGTTAACTGCCGGTTGTACTTATGTCGACTTACGATTCTATTTCCTACTTTATTCTTTTTCTTTTTGTCATTTTAAAAATTAACTCAAGATTCTGTACGTAAATCTAAGCTAGCTTCTTAATAGCTTCCCTAGCTTATTAAAGTTGTCACAAGATGAAGCATCATGTATGCCTTGAAATTTAAAAAAGAGAAGCTTTATTATTAAAAAATATTGTTAAAAACAAACAAAAGTAATTCACTAAAACGTATTTTAAAAATAAAATATTTATATGTATTTTAGGGCCCTTTTAGGGCAAATAGGGCTTTTAGGGCCATGGCTGTGAAGCCTGGCTTTTGTCTGATTGCTCCACAACTAGGGTGTTTCAAAAAAATCGACTTTTTGTTTTTCTTCAAATGGTCGGCAAATTCTTTCAGAGGATGTCAACATAAAGACCTCGTCAAAATTTGAGCTTTTAATTTGAAGATTTAGAGGTCGCGGATCGCAATTTTCTATTTCCCATTTAAATAACATGGGAATTTTTTTTTTAACTTTGAAATTTTATACGTCTGAATCAAATCAACTTATGTCAAGGATCATCTTAGATTTTCATAGTAAATTTAACGCTCTACAAAAAAGGTATCCTATCATTTTTCTATAAATTGATTCCTTCCAGAGTTATTCGAGGCCAAAGTTTGATTTCCATCGAATTTTCGCGTTTTTTTTAACATTTATGGTACAATTATCATTATACGGGTGTCCCGAAATCAGGGGGCCAAACTTAAACAGGGCATTATTCGTATAAAAATAACACTTTTTTTGTTTAATAAACATGTATCAAAAAATGCTCCCTAAAGGAGCTACGGCCCCCTGAATAGGAGCCTAAGAGGATAATTTTTTTAAAACTATTCCTAGAGGGTTGAACATGAACAAATAAATTTTTGGTACTTTGGTAATTTTGACATGCTGAATCTAGATCTATGATCAAAACTGTTAAAATTTAATCATAGGCGTAACATTTGGAGGGGGCAAAGTTACAAAAATAGCCCCAACTTTTTTCTGGGTTAATAATTTAATTTTTTTTATGAAATTATGAGAATTTACAGTTTTTTACGAAAAATAGGTACTCTTGATTTGAATTGCTCAGATGCACCATTTTCGAGAAAAATGCATTTATAAATAAATTACTCTGCATATTATACACATCTCATATTTTCATTAAAACTTTGTAGTAGGCTTTGGAAAAAAGTGACGTTTTTTTGTTCCTTGCCATAAGTTGATTCGATATAGAAGTATAAAATTCCAAAGTTAAAAAAAAAATTCCCATGTTATTTAAATGGGAAATAGAAAATTGCGATCCGCGACCTCTAAATCTTCAAGTTAAAAGCTCAAATTTTAACGAGGTCTTTGTTTTGACATCCTCTGAAAGAATTTGCTGACCATTTGAAGAAAAAGTCGATTTTTTTGAAACACCCTACTACACACATTTCTAAAAACGATCTTACCTCGGTATTGACGTAGGCTTGTTCGGCAGTGCACTCAGCTTTACTGGTGGGGTTACTCAGCGCAAAAATGATCGGTCTTTCGTTAAAGCTGGCCATGGCCTTCAGGATTTCGGGGGTGAAGGCGCCGGCGGCCGCGGACGCGCCAATCAGAATCGACGGTTTGATCTCGTTGACGACCTGCGCGAAGTCCTTGACGGGCGCGTGGTCTTTGGCGTAGTAGGCCTTGTGGCCTTCCAGATGGCCTTCGGGCCTGTCCTTGGCGAGGAGACCGTCGATGTCCACCATCCAGATTTTCGATCGCGCCTCCTCTTGGCTGATACCTTTAAAAGATATCGGTTAGCAAGGGCAACTTTTCACGAGTCGGCATTTTCCGAGGTTCCAATGATAATATCATTTATTTATTTATTATGTTCCAACGAAATTTCGGTGATTTTGAAAAAAAAATCGGCAGAGGAATTGATCTTCTTACAGTCGAATAAGTATCAATGCCTCTAAAATTTTTATTTCGAAAAATTAAGCCATCTTCGAAAATTCGACATTTTAATGAAAATAACCCCCCCCCCATAATCGGAACCTTAGGTACGCCCCTGATTATTAGTATACATTTGTAAGTAAAATGTGTTTTTTTATGGAGGGAAAGCTATCAAAATGTTTTGTTTAACCTGACATTCTACTGTTTAACCATATTATAATTTTTCTAAAATTTGTTTTTGACATAATTAAAAACTATTATATTATATTTAGGGTTGCAACTTTTCATGAAAAGTTGAAATTTTTGAAAAGTTGGGTTTTATTTTTCGGAAAAGATGGAAAAGTTGAGTTTTTTGTAATGTAAACTTATAAAACATAAATAATGCTTGTCAATGTATTTATACATACTAGGGTGGGCTGATTTTATATTTAACTTCTAAAATTTAAAAATACTAAATTTTGCATTTAAGAAAAAGTTGTAAAATAGGAAAGTAAACATTTTTTGCAAAATATTTTTTTTGATATCTATATGTTTTGAACTGCCGCAACGCCTCTAAAAATTTAAAAAAAAAAAAATTATTCATAAGTTAACTATTTCCCTTTAATATTTTTTTTCTTTTTTAATGTTTTGAACTGTATGAAGTCAAACTGTAAATTTTAAATTTTGCAATAATTGCAATTATTGGAGAGACGGCGTAAAATGGAGAATAAATATTTTTTTAAGATTTTCGTGTTTGACGTAGGACAAATGAGAGTTGGCTTCACTTTTTATATAAATTATAATATTTTGACATTGTCAATTAGTTGAATAATAGAAATTTTTACAAGTAGTATCTGTTTGTGGTTTTTGGGTGTTTGTGAAAAATGGCAGGTAAAACAGGATTATAAATTGAATTAAATTTGTGTTGATGATAAATTAATTTTTATTTTTGTTTTTTTTTAATAAATATTTATCATTCAAAACTTTTTTAACCCTATTTTCTCTTAGATAATTTTTTTCGTATTTATAACGATACTAAATTACATTAAGATCTTTCAAGGCCTTGCGGCAGTTGAAGAAATTAAAATTAAAAAAAAAACTCTTTTAATATTTTTCTGGCCTTATAAATGCACAACTTTTCCACCATTGCACAATTTGATATTTGAAAAATATTAAAATGGGCCCACCCTAATACATACGTAACAAAATAACAAAAAAAAATATCAAACAAAATAAAATAATAACAACAAAAATAAACTACCTAGGTTTGAATTAAAAAAATCATATTTTTTAAGTAAAAAAGAATAGAAATTTATACACACCAAAAAAAACACATACGAAATAAAAAATAATTACAAAAAAATATGAAGCAAAAATTATTAAATTTATTATTGTTAAAAATTATGGAAATTTACAAGTAAAAATTTAAAAAGATAAAGAAAAGAAAACTTTCTCCTTTTCCACTTTTATATTTTTACTTGCAAATTTCCATAATTAAAAAAAATAATATTTTTTTCATACTGTGTATAAATTTAAAATACGTTATAATAAAACAATCTTTATATAATAGAAAATGCTGTTAGCAGACACCATGGTAGTGGAAACACTGGTTAGAAGTCAAGTCATTGTTAATTGGCTCCCACCTAATAACTTTTCCAACTTTTCATAGGGGGTGCCGAACTTTTCATAGGGGGTGCCGAACTTTTCCAACTTTTCGACCGAACTTTTCCTTGTTTGCAACACTAATTATATTATGTATCAAGTTTGATAAAGGCCATTTTAGTCACGAATTTAATTAAATATTTTTATAAAGCAACATCTATACGAAAATAAAGTAACCATCCCAATAAACATTTTTGACGTTATTTTCACCATCAACATTGCCCGTTATTATTTTAATTAAACTTAACAATTATTGATACTTTAAAATATTAAAATAACTTCAAAATATGATTATGTTCAGAAAATATTTTATCCTTTCATTTTTTTTATTACTATATAGTACAGTCATCTTAGTCAAAAAAAGGGATCAACCTCGGAATCTAACGGAATAAGCTGAATTTTTGTGACAACCTTTATTTTAGCATTACAAATGTTGTCTCAAAAGTCACATATGCCAACGTGTGAGCGGCCTTAGATATTCAAGGTCAAAGGTCGCAAAAATCAGTTTTTTGAGAATATCTCGTTTTCTCTGCCTCCTATCGTATTTGCATTTATTATAAAAGCTGTAGAGAATAAAATTCTCTACAAATTTGGTTTACAAAATTTTTTTATACGTCGAACCGTTTTTGAGATAGACGGCGCAGAGTGTGGAGCGCTCAGCCATACGTACCTTTAGCGCAAGGTAAATCGTGAATACCAATCTATTATACCGTTTTTTTAATTAATTATATTACTAACAAAATTTAATACCTTATACTTATATTTCTTTTAAATCAAATATATTTTATCTTCATATATAGGTATCTTATATTTTAATTTAATTTTAATGAATGATAATTGGATCGGAGTAGGAAAAAATGTTTTTATTTATATCAATATTATTATTATTATTATTATTAATCTTTATCTTCTTCATCCTCGTCTTCTTCAGGTTGGCCAGCAATTTCAGACTCATTCTCATCATCACTCTCCTCGTTATCATTGACATTAATTGTCTTATCTTCAAAAACTTACTTATAACGTGTTTGTACTTTGTTTGCCTTTGTTGCCTCATCTGCGACTTCACCACAAAATAAGCACAATATTTTAAAATCAAAAACATCATTCCCTTTTTTACGAGGTACAGTTGATGACGTTGAAGGTCTAGTCTCTTCAAGGCGACGTTTTGCTGCTGCAATTTTACTATAGTACGCTATAGCGTACAATTTTCGACACTCAATATGAACGTTCATAGAAGTCAAAGTATTTAGGTAGTTTATGTTTATATCTCTCAATAATTGCTTCTTTTAAAGTCTTTATACCGCGCACAAAAGTCACAGAATCACCTTCAGAAAGTAACTTATTACAAATAAAACACAAATCAGCCATATTAACCTTTAAAATATTACGAATATTACCTGTCACAACCCTAGACCTATACCTAGGGTCACAACTTGCTTTAAATATAGGTATACCTAACCTTTTTATTTATAGCAAGCCCACTATAGTATTTCCAGGTCTGTTATTTTAAAAGCAATATCTGGATCCAAGAGATGACCAGAGACATATTTAAGGCAAATTCATTAAATGTCTTTTCTTCTTAATATGCATTTATCATTAATTATAATAACATTAGAATATATTTAGAATGATTCACTTCATTATTTAATTATTTGTATGTCAAAATTAAGTAATATTTAATGATTTAATTTGTTTTAAAAAAATATATAAAAATAAATATAAGGTATTACATTAAATTGTTATTTAAGTAATATTTAATAAATAATTAATTAAAAAACGGTATAATAGATTGGGATTTATGATTTACCTTGCGCTAAAGGTACGTATGGCTGAGCGCTCCACACTCTGCGCCCTCTATCTCAAAAACGATTAGACGTATGAAAAAATGTTTTAAACAAAATTTGTAGAGAATTTTATTCTCTACAACTTGTATAATAAATGCAAATACGATAGGAGGCAGAGAAAAGGAGATATTCTCAAAAAATTGATTTTTGCGACCTTTGACCTTGAATATCTAAGGCCGCTCACACGTTGGCATATGTGACTTTTGACTCAAAAGTTTTGAGACAACATTTGCAATGCTAAAATAAAGGTTTGTACAAAAATTCAGCTTATTCCGTTAGATTCCGAGGTGAAATGCCTAGATGACTGGACTTATAATAATAATAATATAATATTTTGCAATTATTGCAAAATATTATCACAAAGTATTAAAAATTCTTACACGGGAAATGTTAAAGGTACAAAAAGTGACAGTTGTATTTATTGGAATTCCCGTTAGAATTTCTAACTTGGGACTCTACCGGCGTTAAAATCTCAAATTTTTCTGTGTAAATCAAAATTTATACCTTGAAAATAGACTTGGAAATTTTTCACAGTAAAAGAGAAGAGAATGTTTTATTGGTACTGCACGCAAAATTTTTAACGCTTTATCAGTTAAATCTAGTTGACTGCTCTACTACGACGAAATCAAAACGTTCATATAATCTTTTCAAATACTTTAATACTTTTGTATTGAGATAATAAAATAATTTTCACAAATAGTATTATTTTACAAGAAAGGCACTTTATTTTAACGATTGTATGACATTTGACAACTGTCAACTAACTTAAAACTAACTTCAGCCCGTGACTAAAGCGCCATAAGGCTCGTGTGTAATAAAACTCGTAACTAAAATAGCGTCTATAAAACTTGATAAGTAATATACTATTAACGTTACCTACCTAAACCGTTTTTTATATTCCGGAATGTGTCTTGATATTCTTTAGAAAATGTAACATTTGCAAAAATTCAACAATAACCAATATAATACAAGTAAAAAAAATTATGGGGGTTTTAAATCTGAAACGTCATGTAATCACGCCGAAAACAATAAGAAACATGTTTTTTTTTATTAATTTGTTGTGGACCAGAAGTCAGTGTAATAATTTTAAAGGGCTTTATTATATTCTGGAAATAAATATTTAAAATATATAGTTTTCTTTAATTAAAAAACAGTGTTCCAATATACCCGACATCTAAAAAAATATTCCAAAAAAACACCACCGAAAAATATGACATGACATGTTGTTTTATAAAGGTGATTTAAAACTTGATACGTAATATACTATTAACGTTACCTACCTAAAACGTTTTTTATATTCCGGAATGTGTCTTGATATTCTTTAGAAAATGTAACATTTGCAAAAATTCAACAATAACCAATATAATACAAGTAAAAAAAATTATGGGGGTTTTAAATCTGAAACGTCATGTAATCACGCCGAAAACAATAAGAAACATGTTTTTTTTTATTAATTTGTTGTGGACCAGAAGTCAGTGTAATAATTTTAAAGGGCTTTATTATATTCTGGAAATAAATATTTAAAATATATAGTTTTCTTTAATTAAAAAACAGTGTTCCAATATACCCGACATCTAAAAAAATATTCCAAAAAAACACCACCGAAAAATATGACATGACATGTTGTTTTATAAAGGTGATTTAAAACTTGATACGTAATATACTATTAACGTTACCTACCTAAAACGTTTTTTATATTCCGGAATGTGTCTTGATATTCTTTAGAAAATGTAACATTTGCAAAAATTCAACAATAACCAATATAATACAAGTAAAAAAAATTATGGGGGTTTTAAATCTGAAACGTCATGTAATCACGCCGAAAACAATAAGAAACATGTTTTTTTTTATTAATTTGTTGTGAACCAGAAGTCAGTGTAATAATTTTAAAGGGCTTTATTATATTCTGGAAATAAATATTTAAAATATATAGTTTTCTTTAATTAAAAATCAGTGTTCCAATATACCCGACATCTAAAAAAATATTCCAAAAAAACACCACCGAAAAATATGACATGACATGTTGTTTTATAAAGGTGATTTAAAAAAAAAATATGTGTGAACTCATGCAACAATTATTAATACATGCGCATTTAAAAACAAACTTAGAACACACTTTAAATTAAAAAATTATAATAAAACAATAAAAATTACTAAAAAATGATAAAATTAATAATGTGATCATTATTATGATTATGCATTTGATAATTGCAAGCCACTTGCTTTTAACAAACAGCCTACTGAAGATCATGGTTATTTAACTAACCTGAACCTGTAAAGATTATAAATAAATGTTATAATAAAATATACAATACAATACAATGTGTATAAAATGAAACTATATAACCTATTAAGCAAATAAATTAAAGCCAATAATTATTTTCTACACTAAATTTCGAATTTTAAAGCATAATAAGCCATGGGAGCGCATTGCATATTTATATTTTTTTAATAATACTTTTAGTATCAAAGAAAACGGATTTATTTATTCATTAAAAATAACAAAGAAATATAAGTCCATTAAATAATTTTGGGGCGAAGTTTTATTTTTTATTCAGGGATTATTTTTATGTGTTATACCTGTGTGTTATACCTCTAAAGATAGATAAAAAATGTCATATAATAATTTTTATTCTGCGAATTAAAAATATGTGTTAAAAAATACAAATACAAGAAACAGATATTTTAAAATATCTGTTTTGATATTATAAAATCGCAGAATAAAAATTCTTATGTGATATTTTTTATCTAATTGAAAATATCACTCTATATTACACATAAAATTAATTTCTAAATAAAAAATAAAACGGCGCCTTATAATTAATCATACAATTTTGAAAATTATTTTATAATTTTTAACTTCTTTTTAAAAGCTCCCATGTTAATTAAAGCTACTAGATGACACGGCGCGCCGTTTTAGCAATTATTGGATAATAGTATGAAGGTATTTTTTTTAAACGCAAAACAATTGATAGTCAAAAAATACTTTAAATATAAAATACAACAAAAATATTGATTTAAAAAAAAATTAGTTCAAATATTTTATTTTACAAAATGATGGGTTTAAATTTGTCATTTAAATGATAGTTGATTAATTTTTAATACAAAAATTCTCAAATTACATTAAAATGTACGTTTTAAATTTGAAAGTGGTAATTTTTTGATTAAAAATTTATCGACTGTATGACTATAGATTTAAACAATTTTTTTTTATTCATAACAATTTTAAATTGACACATTTTTAACACAAATATTATATCTTTACATTTAAATGTTAGTCGATAATTTTTAATTTACAAAGTGTAAACGTAGCTTAATCAAACAGCGCACGCTGTCTTTTTCTAGAGTGCATCAATTTAAATTTGTTAAAATAACGACGGTCCCTATAAATAATAACGACGTTATTATTTATAGGGACCGTCGTTATTTTTTATAGGGGCTGTTAACTATGACAATTTTTTCATATTTTAATAAGTTTTTTAATTTATTGTTATTAAAACCAATTTATACCATTATTAAATTTTATCCCATATAGGTAATTATGCAATAAACTTGGCTTATAACAAAACAGCAAAAATGTTAATAAATATATTTATCTCCACTCGGTCTATAATTTAAACTTTATTGTTGTCAACATTCGATAAAGAAATACCTTGTTATGGCCTTGGCATTAACCAAATCTATTGAAGCATTTTTTTAAATAAAATTATATATGTAGGTACCTCTGATATATACAAAAGTAGTAATTTTACCTCACTTTTAATTTTATTTAAAAAAACTCGTCGAGCGATTTTTTTTTTAAGTAGTAAAGAGATGTTTTTATTTAATTAAAGAAATTCATTTCCATACTTTATTTCTCCTAAAATTTTACAAAAAACCTCCTAAATTCCTAAATAAAATTTGTAATTTAGCCGTGGGAGCCCTGCTAATGACCTAAATAACTATTCTTTGTGTTTTATTTTTCAATAACAACCTCTCCGAATAATTCCGGATTTGTATTGCTATAGCTAAAAGTCTTATTAACTCTTCCAGGAGACTCCCAAATATTGCTATTATTCTGACTTACTAAGACTTATTCAGACTTTTTCAGACTTGGTAAGTCTTATTCAGAGTTTTTAAGAGAAAGTACCTATTAAAACTGTTTCAGAAAAAAAATCCACAAGGGCGTAGAAAATCAATATATTTTTTTGGCTCACCTTCGCTCTCCATGGCTTTGACGCAAAGATCGGCGATGCCGATGGCGGCCTCGCCGGCCCCGAGGAACACGAACCTGTTGTCGGAAATCTTCTTTCCGGTCACCCTCTTGGAGGCGATCAGGCCGGAAACGGCGACGCTGGCCGTGCCCTGGATGTCGTCGTTGAAGGTGCAGTAGTTGTCGCGGTACCTGTCCAGGAACCTGAACGCGTTGTGGTTGCCGAAGTCCTCGAACTGGATGAGCGTGTTTTGGCCGTAACGCTTCACCACGCCCTCCATGAACTCGTCGATGAAGTCGTCGTACAGTTTGCCGGTGACGCGCTTTTGTCTCAGACCGACGTACAGGGGATCTTCCAACAGTTTCTAACAAAACGATGGGTAAATATTTAACATAAAGGTGTCCCGAAAAGGTCTTACCACGCGACAATTAAATATAAAATAGTACATTCTGTAACAAGTTTGGAATACAGCATATTCCGCTCGAGGAAAAATTTGACACACGAGCCGAAGGCGAGTGTGACGGTTTTACGAGAGTGGAATATGCTATTCCAAACGTGTTTCAGATATTATTTTCTCTACGACTACGTAAGAATAGTAACGCTTATATAATTTTAAACAGTGAAAAGAAACCAAGCAGTTTTTGACATTTAAGTTTTTTGTATTGTCAAACCATTTTGTGCTGTCACAATTTTATAATGTAAATTATAATAAATTAAAAAAAATGGTATGCCTAAATCTTTATTATAATTAAAAATAGTTATTTACACTAACTAATAAAAAAAATAACATTGTAACAAATACAAAACTAATTTTACAAGTAATCTATGTCAACATCTATTCTTTTTCTACATTTTAAAGGTCTTTTTATAAACTTTTTGAATCTGTCAAAACTTCAAAGCCGGTATAGTAGGTAACTGGTTTATAATTTTAATATCAAATTTATTATAATTTTGATTTGTATATTTGAAAAACAATAAATATAACTAATTTTTTGTGCCTAAACCTTAATTATACAACTGCTATTATTTTTTAATTAATAAATAATACAGTAATATTTAAATATTTTTAAATTTTTTACGTTTAGTAAACAGCCAGGAGATGTCGTTACTTGTGACCATTCTTAACCAAGAGTAGGAATATTCTCGCACAGTATTGCAGAAAAACATCCTTTCTATGATCAAAAATTACACTAGAATGTTACTATTCTTAAGTAGTCGTAGAGAATAGTACATTCTGTAACAAGTTTGGAATACAGCATATTCCGCTCGAGGAAAAATTTGACACACGAGCCGAAGGCGAGTGTGACGGTTTTACGAGAGTGGAATATGCTATTCCAAACGTGTTTCAGACATTATTTTCTCTACGACTACGTAAGAATAGTAACGCTTATATAATTTTAAACAGTGAAAAGAAACCAAGCAGTTTTTGACATTTAAGTTTTTTGTATTGTCAAACCATTTTGTGCTGTCACAATTTTATAATGTAAATTATAATAAATTTAAAAAAATGGTATGCCTAAATCTTTATTATAATTAAAAATAGTTATTTACACTAACTAATAAAAAAAATAACATTGTAACAAATACAAAACTAATTTTACAAGTAATCTATGTCAACATCTATTCTTTTTCTACATTTTAAAGGTCTTTTTATAAACTTTTTGAATCTGTCAAAACTTCAAAGCCGGTATAGTAGGTAACTGGTTTATAATTTTAATATCAAATTTATTATAATTTTGATTTGTATATTTGAAAAACAATAAATATAACTAATTTTTTGTGCCTAAACCTTAATTATACAACTGCTATTATTTTTTAATTAATAAATAATACAGTAATATTTAAATATTTTTAAATTTTTTACGTTTAGTAAACAGCCAGGAGATGTCGTTACTTGTGACCATTCTTAACCAAGAGTAGGAATATTCTCGCACAGTATTGCAGAAAAACATCCTTTCTATGATCAAAAATTACACTAGAATGTTACTATTCTTAAGTAGTCGTAGAGAATAGTACATTCTGTAACAAGTTTGGAATACAGCATATTCCGCTCGAGGAAAAATTTGACACACGAGCCGAAGGCGAGTGTGACGGTTTTACGAGAGTGGAATATGCTATTCCAAACGTGTTTCAGACATTATTTTCTCTACGACTACGTAAGAATAGTAACGCTTATATAATTTTAAACAGTGAAAAGAAACCAAGCAGTTTTTGACATTTAAGTTTTTTGTATTGTCAAACCATTTTGTGCTGTCACAATTTTATAATGTAAATTATAATAAATTTAAAAAAATGGTATGCCTAAATCTTTATTATAATTAAAAATAGTTATTTACACTAACTAATAAAAAAAATAACATTGTAACAAATACAAAACTAATTTTACAAGTAATCTATGTCAACATCTATTCTTTTTCTACATTTTAAAGGTCTTTTTATAAACTTTTTGAATCTGTCAAAACTTCAAAGCCGGTATATTAGGTAACTGGTTTATAATTTTAATATCAAATTTATTATAATTTTGATTTGTATATTTGAAAAACAATAAATATAACTAATTTTTTGTGCCTAAACCTTAATTATACAACTGCTATTATTTTTTAATTAATAAATAATACAGTAATATTTAAATATTTTTAAATTTTTTACGTTTAGTAAACAGCCAGGAGATGTCGTTACTTGTGACCATTCTTAACCAAGAGTAGGAATATTCTCGCACAGTATTGCAGAAAAACATCCTTTCTATGATCAAAAATTACACTAGAATGTTACTATTCTTAAGTAGTCGTAGAGAATAGTACATTCTGTAACAAGTTTGGAATACAGCATATTCCGCTCGAGGAAAAATTTGACACACGAGCCGAAGGCGAGTGTGACGGTTTTACGAGAGTGGAATATGCTATTCCAAACGTGTTTCAGACATTATTTTCTCTACGACTACGTAAGAATAGTAACGCTTATATAATTTTAAACAGTGAAAAGAAACCAAGCAGTTTTTGACATTTAAGTTTTTTGTATTGTCAAACCATTTTGTGCTGTCACAATTTTATAATGTAAATTATAATAAATTTAAACAAATGGTATGCCTAAATCTTTATTATAATTAAAAATAGTTATTTACACTAACTAATAAAAAAAATAACATTGTAACAAATACAAAACTAATTTTACAAGTAATCTATGTCAACATCTATTCTTTTTCTACATTTTAAAGGTCTTTTTATAAACTTTTTGAATCTGTCAAAACTTCAAAGCCGGTATAGTAGGTAACTGGTTTATAATTTTAATATCAAATTTATTATAATTTTGATTTGTATATTTGAAAAACAATAAATATAACTAATTTTTTGTGCCTAAACCTTAATTATACAACTGCTATTATTTTTTAATTAATAAATAATACAGTAATATTTAAATATTTTTAAATTTTTTACGTTTAGTAAACAGCCAGGAGATGTCGTTACTTGTGACCATTCTTAACCAAGAGTAGGAATATTCTCGCACAGTATTGCAGAAAAACATCCTTTCTATGATCAAAAATTACACTAGAATGTTACTATTCTTAAGTAGTCGTAGAGAAACATTTTTATTGAGTCAAACCACGTCCAATGCATATGTATTGATTTTTTGGAAAGTAACAATAATTGTAAAAATCTGTTGGGACATTCCATGGTAACTCGCGTTATAATCATATATTATATCAGGAGAACTATGAAACTAGGCTCAGTAGTTTTTTGTTTGGTTTTTCTTGGAAAATGTTGAATGCAAAATAATTTAATAAAATCACGAGACCGCGTAGCGGTCGAGGGGTTTTATTTTTAATTATTTTGCATGAAACTGTTTTCCAAAAAGAAAAAATCAAATAAAAAACTTACTGAGCATAGTTTGACAGATTAAATTTATAGGTTTATATACGTCTAGATTATTTCTCGAATTAAAGGAAACTATTTGACAATTCATAAAATCTGGCGTATGTGTCAAAAATTATAAATATTTTTTTAAAGAAAATTCCATTAATTTAAGGTACAGTTGTATTCAATAAAAAAGCGTACAAGAATTAGAATGAGAGAAAACTGTCAAAATAATATTATTGCTTAAAACCGGCTTATGACTGACATAAGTCATTAAAATTATTATTATAGGTTATAAAGAGCATTGACGTCGTAGGTTAATTAAATAATATTACAAAAATTATTACCTTTTAATAATGAAAAAACAAACATGATAAATAATAATAAAATGTAATATTTTTGTCATGCATCCCTGTTTTTCTATTACTTGAGCCAATCTATTTGGGATGAACTGAATTAAATTTAATACAATATTTGGATTAATATCTTCCCAGCAGTATAGTAGGTATAGTATAGTTGTATAGTTTCCCATAAATCCTCAGATATCTCAAAAAAGCAGCATCCTGTTCAGGGGTGGACATTTTGGGACGACCTGAACCAACTTTTTGGTTTAGTAAATCTTCCTGTTCCCAGCGTTGCTTAATTTTTAATATAGATTTTTTATTTCTATTATACCACAGTACGAATTGACCATTCTTCTTTGATTCTTGATACTATTTGAGCCTTTTTAACTGACGAGGCATTTTTATTTTCTACTGTCAGTTATAGTGACTTAAGTCAGTGGAAAGCCGGTTTTACGCAATAATGTTGACAGTTTTCTCTCATTCTAATTCTTGTACGCTTTTTTAATGAATACAACTGTATGTAATAAGTAATAATTGATATTTCGTAAACTAGATAACTTATTTATATTGTTTTTTAAAAAATATTTGTTAAAACTTGTAAATAACACCATAAAATCGTAAACAAAAATCCAATATGGAGGCTAAAATTTAATCGCTGTTAAATAGTTCTAGTGATTTAATCGCTTATTTAAACGAAATTTATTCGAAAATTTAAGGCTTTTGATTGGTTCATATTATAATGAGGGAAATAATCAGATATATTATTTGGCAGTAAAATTAGGCGCCGCACAGTGGTCGGATAAGGGGAAAAAGCTGGCCTAAATTGCCTTCAAATTTTACGCTCTGTTAAATGTGCTGTAGACTTTCTTTAAAGTGCGCGATTTCTTCGACTATACATGGAGCGAGTTGCTAAAGGTATGTATGATAAAATTTTAATACGAGGTTTATGTTATTCATGCATGATATATTTAAATACATTGTATTGTAATAGTGACCTCAAAGTGATCTATTGGGGTCCGAGGATGGCGCAGTGGGTTAGGCTACAAAGCTGTGCAATCTGCGTCTAACGGTACCGGGTTCGATTCCCGGTCACAGCCCTGGGTGTTGTGATTGTTTATTAGGACAAAAATTACATATAATGTGCTGGCTAAATAGGCTAATGTTTTTACCATTCTAAAATGTATTTTAACATAATTGTTTACATTCTTCAGTAAGTTGATGTATAAGATTCTTCAAAAATTTATTTAACATTCTAAAATGTTTGGAAATTAAAAAAAATATTGCGATTTTTGAGGTTTTTTGATATACGCTAAAGAAGTGTCGGGTTTTCGCAACGCGCGCGCCATCTGGTGGACAAAAGCATTGCGTGAATTTAAGAATTGTCAACAATACATTTAAAGCATACGAAATGTACATCATTTTTAAATAAATAGGTAGTTTTTTACTCGACAAATTTAGTTCAATTGCCCAGCTAAATCGCGCACGTTATTTGTGTTTTACGTTGCAAGGAAAAAACTAAAAGACTGGTTTAGTACTCGATTTCGATTGATTATTCTTTATATCATTGATTAAGAAACTCAACGCTTAAATGCTTATATAGTTACGTTAGTGTGTGTATTTTATCTAAGGGATCATGGTGAATTATTGTGTTTTTAATTGTAAATAAAATTCAAGAACTAAATCGTTGCATTTTCATGTTTTGCCAAAGTATCCAATTCGGTAAGTACATTTGTTGGTGCAGAATTAACTAATGATAACTTTACCTAATATAATTTATATTTAAGTTTGGAAATTTTTAAGAAATTAGTAAAAATTAATTTTTGCACAAACATAACCTTAAAATCAACCATTTTTATATTTCAGTTCTCTAAAAAACGCCTACAACTGCATTTTAAACAAAAAAATATACCTACGAATTCATGGCAACATAATATTAAATATAATACATAATATAATATTTACCGTTGAGTGGAGACTTTAAAGAATTCTTAATCAACGCTTTTAATAATGCTAAATGCTGTTTGAATTTAGACGAATTATTTGTTTGACGATTTTTACTGAATTTTTTTCACATTAATCATTACTAAAATATGTATTTAATGTAACAAATACAATTTATATTTACATGGACTGTATGAAATTTATTTCTTCATTCGGATTAACACTGTTTACTGGAAAACCGATAAAAACTCAACCCAGGATTTCCTCTTGAAAAGTTGTACTTTTGTTACGATGATAAAAGCCTACTTCTTTAGCGTATTCTGTAGCAATTACTATTACTTAATTAAGGAAGGTTAAATTTCTTAAATTTGACTTGCAAATAAATTTAACTGTCCCTCCAAAAATTATATTAAAAATTAAGAAAATTATAACATTTCTCGACTTTCACAAAAAAATTCAAAACAAAATTGATTTTGATAATTTTGTCCATTATCTTGCAAATTATAGAACACAACTTTTTAATGAACACAAATTTACGTTTAAAGATTCCAGCGAAAAAAGTTGATACATATTGCTAAATATTTTTTTTTTATAAAAACCATTAAGATCTCATATTTTCTTATTTGGTTAGAAATATACATATATATCCTTACCTCATTGTTGGTTCCAGTATCCAAAACGATAGGTAGACATTGATGTGGTGGGATACCAGCCAAAGCAGTGTACAAAGCTAATTTTCCTACTGGAATACCCATACCGCAGGCCCCCAAGTCGCCCAGACCCAAGATACGTTCACCGTCGGTTACTACGATGGCTCTAACATTTGGTTCAGGCCTAAGCACAAGAAAAAAATGTGACTTATTATTGTTGAATTATTTTTAAATTTTGAATTTGAATATTCTACAAGAAAAATCGTATGGAGAACAAGATTTAACGTTTTCAAATTGGCATTCTAGAATGTTTTTAACATTTTAAATTGTTTTTAACATTCTTAAGTAAAATGTGTTTTAGAATATCGCAAAATGAGTTGCAACAAATATCGATTTTGGAACTATTGCATTTATTATTTGTTAACGCTGTAAAAAAATAGTATATTATGTATCAAGTTTTATAAACGCCATTTTACTTACGACTGTTTAATAAAAACGAGTGCCTAGAGAAGTTTATAAAACGAGTTGCATAATATACTTTATCTACGACGATCACAAAACAGAATTTAAAGCCAATTTTATTTATTTGACATCTGTCAAGTGTCAACGAATTTAACCTCACTATTTCTCCATTTATAATAAAGCTAACTTCAGCTCGTGATTAAAACGCCATAAAGTCACAGCTTATCAGTGGGGGAGTCTATAAAGTTTATTTAAGAACGCAACACTTTTAAGTAATTTTGACATTTTTAAGATAATAAAATTTATTTTTGCTACTGTTTTTTATAAACAAAAATGAGTTTCTAACATTCTTAACAAAGTTGTTTTTAATATTCTATAATGTGGTTTAACTTTTAAATTATGATTTGAGGATCTTAAAAAGGTTTAATATTCTTATAGTTTGACAAAATATTTTAAAAAATAAATAAAATTTAATGTTTAGATTGCTAAATCATACAAGAATATTAAAAGTAACAAAGGCAAAACAGTATTGAATCTAGAACACAAAAATAATATTTAAAGTAAAAAAACATTTTCAAAAACAATACAAGGTGCCAAAATCCAAGACGAAACTTGTAATCCACCTTATCTTTTACACGAATGTTTAACCCTAACAAAAGCGAGAGATATCTAATCGGGAATTTCGAAATCTGATCAAAGCATGTTTGGTTCTGATCAAGAATTTCGAAAACTGTTTGAAGAATGATTGAATCTGATCGGAAAGTTCGAAACCTGATGGAATCTGATCTAATCAAGTTTCGATCAGGTTTTTTAGCAGGGTTATTAATCAAACAACTGCTGCAATTTTGCGAATACGAAAACATTGTAAAGAAAATTTTGTCTTGGATTTTCGCAAAGAATCGACTTTCGTTTGGTCAAATTTTTGTTTAAAAATAAGCTTTAATTTTTTTAAAGACATATGTCTTTAAGGATATCCTTATTAATTTATAATAAAGACATATGTCTTTAAGGATATCCTTATTAATTTTTGTCATTTTGACATTTTTTAAAATCTACCTTAAATTATTTAAAATAAATATTTGTATAAGGGACATCTATACGAAAATAAAGTAACCATCCCAATAAACAATAAATAATTAATTAAACTTAACAATTATTGATACTTTAAAATATTAAAATAACTTCAAAATATGACTATGTTAAGAAAATATTTCATCCTATTACTATAATTGCCATATATTATTACAAATTATTAAAAATTCTTACACGGGAAATGTTAATGGTACAAAAAGTGACACTTGTATTAATTGGAATTCCCGTTAGAATTTCTAACTTGGGAATCTACCGGCATTGAAATGTCAAATTTTTGTTTGTAAATCAAAATTTATTCCTTGTTTTGTTTTTCGCAGTAAAAGAGAAGAGAATGTTTTATGGGCACTGTTCGCAACATTTTTAACGCTTTATCAGTTAAATCTAGTTAACTACACTACTACGGCGAAATAATAAATAATCTTTTTAAATTCTGGCGTCAAGAAACTAAACTATTTAATACTTTTGTATTTTTTTATTGATATAATAAAATAATTTTTACATTTAGTTTTATTTTGCAACAAATGCACTTTAATTTAACAATTGAATTGACATTTGACAACTGTCAACTAATTTAAAACTAACTTCAGCCCGTGATTAAAAACCGGTTGCTTACTTCAGCCCGTGACTAAACCGCCATAAAGCCACAACTTGTCAATGTATTTAAAAGGTCACTTGGTGTCATGGAAACATATACGATAATAGACATTTAGAAAGGAGTAGAAAAAGATACCCTGTTGTAAATGACCGATTAATTCCTTATAGAAACCAATTGAAGTATTGGTTGATATCAATAAGTCTGAATTGGACTTACTGGTATTAATTGGGAGCGATATAAAACAGAAATTGGTTTTTACTGGTATTTTTCATGATGGAAAAGTCTGATTAGGATTCTACTGTTTTTTAGTGGTTTCGATTGGTTAAAGCTACCAATAGGTAATTTCCAATTGAATTCAATTGGGCATTCCCAGTGTAAGATTCTAGAAAGGAATCTGCTGATTGGTTATTCCCAATACTTTAAAATATGGAAAAGTTCAATTAGAATTCTACTGTTTTTTAGTGGTTTCAATTGGTTAAAGCTACCCATAGGTAATTTCCAATTGAATTCCCAGTGTGAGATTCTAAAAAGGAATCTGCTAATTGATTATTCCCAATACTTTAAAACATCGCAAGAGGGCTCTCGTGTAGCTGCGCAAAACCAACGTACGCAGTCCTTGTTCGAATGGTTGAGACGCCATCATAAAGAAACAAACAAGTCTTTGGACGCTATTTAATGTCGTTTTTTTATAATCTATGGGTTTCTGTGCTTAGTGGTAGTTGTGTACTTATAGTGGTGTGTACTTATACCTTAAAAAATGTTTATATGTGTAAGGTTTAGGGACGATGGCGTAAGAATGGTGGTTACAGCGGACAAAATAAAAAAAATTTGACATAAATAATATTGATTTCGACCATGCCTACGAACATCCTTTGCAAGAAAGACAAAAAAATGATTATAACCGAGTAATTTTATTTATTTTTTCTTACTTTTTTTGTGTTAGTAAGTTATATGTATCAATACATATCTCACCAACACAAAAAAATAATAAAGAAATAAAGCTACTCAGTTATAATAGTTTTTTTGTCTCTTCTGTGAAAAACGAATTCTGGGTTTTACCCGGTCATTCTTCTGGGATCTTAATTATTTTTGAATGAAAAATCAACTGGTATTTTTAATCCAAATTTAAAAAAATACCAATTCATTCCAGGTGCATTTCTATTTAGCCAATAGAGACAAGCATAGGCATGGATTGGTATATTCCAATTTAAGCCGCTGACTTCATTGGAACTTACCAATAGGAATGCAACTGGAATAAATTGGTGATTCATAGCGCCAAAACACATTTCAAACCAATTCAAACCAATAACTTATTTTTTATTGGATTCTATCGGTCATTTACAATAGGGTACTTACCAATTTTTCAAGACATCAAAACAATGCCCCACATCGTTAATGGTGATAAACAGTCCCCTGGGTCTTCTGTAAATTAGGCCAAACTTTTGACATGCCAAACCGACGGTGGGTGTGTAAACGATGGGCATGAGGCGTTCGATGTTTTCCGACAACAATCGGAAAAACAATTTTTCATTTCGATCGTGCAGCTCCGTCAGATACAAATATTTGTTCAAATCTTCCTGATATCTTTCAATGGAAATTCGGCAAAGTTCCAATTGCTCTTCTTGCGACTTAAATCTGGCCGGCTGAAGTCCATGGATGCCCAGTGCTTGTCTTTCTTCCAGGGTAAATGCAAGGCCCTAAAAAAAAATTTCTTAAATTAACAAAATTAAAAAGTATTTTTTGAAAAATTTATTGTTTAAATTTTAGATTAACCAAATAAAAATTGAGGGGCTTGGAAGTAAAACGGTTCAAGTGCACTTTTTTAAATAAATGGTCTAAGTGCAGAATATCACAGCTAAAGAATATTCTAACTTAGTGGTAAAATTATATAAGTACATTTTACATTCCCTGGCGCCATTTCTTATCGTCTTTAAAAACCTGTCAAAATATTTTAAAATATATCTTTGGTAAAACGATTTAAGTGCACCTTTTACTGCTAAACATAGGCTATTATCTATGCTGCTAAAGCCTTGACAAGTATTTTAAAACAGACCATAGCATTGAGCCAAAAAAATCCAATTTAGATCAACCCCAACCAAGACCAGCTCATTCAGATGAAGAAACCGTTGTATTAGATTCTGATTATGAATAATACTTTTTGTTATAAAACTTACCCAAATTTTAAAAAATAAAGTTTTGTTCTAGTACAGTAATTGCATTTAAATCATTTTACCACTAAATTTTGTCTTACATGCATGACGATTCAAGTACATTTTTGTAAAAAAATTAACAAAAAAGCGAAATTAAAAAATTCCTTTTTCTTTATTTTATAATCCTTTTTTGTCTTTAAACAAAATTAAAATATTCACACAGTTTTTTAAACTCTTTTCTAGAATTTTAAAATTCAAGTTAACTTTAAAGCCATTTATCTCAGAACTAACAAAAATGCACTTAAACCCTTTTACTTCTAGGCCCCTCAATTGTAGAAATGGCACATAAATCAACTGAGCGTGTCAAAGTTGGTAGTTACCGTCTTTTCCGCTATATCTTATTTTTGTATTTTCTAATTAGCTTATTAGACTAATTGAAGGGATAACATTTTAAATAATAATAATAATAATAAAGAACGCAAAATATTGTAATTGCAATACTATATTTAAGTTTAATTTACAATCACAATAAAGTTTATTTAAATGTAACATGACACCTTCAAACAAAAAATATTGTAATTATAATACCAATTTTATTTTAAATTACAATAACAATATTTTTTGTCCTTTATTATTAAAATTGTTACCTCACCCCTTCATTCACTTGCCCCTACGTTGAAAATACGTAAAGTCGTATCTCGTTTATGTGCCAAGCAAAAATATGTTTAATATTGTTTATTTTTGCTTAGCAAAAAAACGAGGTACGCCGTGTATTTTTAACCGCAAATTAAGTAAAGGATAAACTGCTTGCTTTTTGCTTGCCTAGCCTGATTTTTCTATTTTTTTTTGCACATAAAACACAACATTCTTGGTATTTTTTTTTTCAAAAAATAAAAAACCTGACTGGAAATTGTAAAACTGCAAAAGCGGTTTTCTAGGAAGTTTAATTATTTAATTTTACCAGATTAAAAACTTTAATTCTAAGCCAAAGAGACACTACCTAAATTATCTTAAAAAACTTTACGTATTTAAATATCTATTTATTTCATTTATATTAATATTATTTACTTATAGAACCTTATATTTATTGTCAACATTTCATATTGTTATGTTATCCGTTATTATCATCACTGTGATATTTAGGATTTATTTTTTCAATAAAAAAAAAGCATAGATAAAATATTTTTTTCAAACTACTCCCAAGTCGCGCACCACGGTGTATGATCTTCAGATTCTCAGGAATCTCAGAAAATTGTTAAAAAAGATTTAAAGAAAATTTGTATCCCCTGAGGGGATACAAATTTCCTTTAAATGGCAACATTGCCTACTACCAGTGATGTAATGTATCGAGATACATGTATCTAGATACTGGATCTAGATACATTTTATGTACCTAGATACGTATCGAGATACTTAAAAAAATCTGGATCTACTTTAGTATCTAGATCCTTTTGAAAGTATCTAGATCCTTAGATACAAGATACATTTTATTTTACCCAACCTGATTGCAACTCCACACCGTGTGGGCCACACGGAAAATGAATATACTCTATGGATATCCAGGATATATACCTACATTGGATATTCTTGATATCTCCCGTAAGAGATGAACAATACGAAAACCGTAGTGCTGTATATAGACTCCCGTACCCTAAAATATAAACTGAACTACTGTTTTCGTATTGTTCATCTTTTACGGGAGGAAGGAAAGAAGGAAGGAAGGCAATCTATAAATCCGGCTTAACGCTTTTTCCCACCCTCTATGGATTTACTAATCTTTCATATGGCGCGTAAATATAAAATTTATTTCCGTTTTTCATGGATATTTCGTCAATTTTATCAAAACAGTTTTATTTTATAGTTAACACGCTTGTTTATAAGGTCCAAAAAAATTTTTTTGTCATTTAATTTTTTTAAGTTTTTTTAACATAGTATCTGGAAGTAACTTAGATACTTTTTGAATGTATCTGTATCTGTACCCAGATACTTTTGGGAAAATGTATCGGTATCTGTACCCAGATACATCTACCAGAGAGTATCTGTATCGGTACCTAGATACTGAAAAAAATGTATCGGTTACATCACTGCCTACTACATGATAAAAAGGTAGTGTAATTCTTAATCATCATGACAACAAACAACAATAAAAAGCTTTTGCAGTGTGTTTTTTTATTAGAAATTTGACGTCAATAATTTGGGGATTTAGTTGGCAAATTCTGGGACCCTAAATTTATAATTGGCTTCATTGAGTAAATATAGGTAATTATGGTTATGTTATTATATGAGGTTAAGAATGTGTTTATAAATTTTGAAAATTTCAAATAAAAGTTGTTAAAAATGCAATAGCTTTACCTTTGATGAAATATATTTAGGTTACTTTACGGCCAAGGAAATTTCTTATAAGCTAAAGAAGTATCGGGTTTTCGCAACGCGCGCGCCATCTGGAGGACTTCAAAAGCATTGCGTTAATTTAAGATTTGTCAACAATACATTTAAAGCAACGAACTGTACATCATTTTTATATAAATAGGTCTTTTTGTCACAAAAGAGAGGAAGGCAGAAGTCTTACTCGACAAATTTAGTTCAATTTCCCAGCTAAATCGCGCACGTTATTTTTACGTTGCAAGGAAAAAAATGGTTTAGTACTCGATTTCGATTGATTATTCCTTATATCATTGATTAAGAAACTCAACGCTTATATAGTTACGTTAGTGTGTGTATTTTATCTAAGGGATCATGGTGAATTATTGTGTTTTTAATTATAAATAAAATTCAATAACTAAATCGTTGCATTTTCATGTTTTGCCAAAGGATCCAATTCGGTAAGTACATTTGTTGGTGCAGAATTAACTAATGATAACTTTACCTAATATAATTTATATTTAAGTTTGGACATTTTTAAGAAATTAGTAAAAAATAATTTTTGCACAAACATAACCTTAAAATCAACCATTTTTATATTTAAGTTATCTAAAAAACATCATTTCAAACAACAAAATATACCTACGAATTCATGACAACATAATATTTAATATAATACAATATAATATAATATGATATTTTACCGTTGAGTGGGGACTTTAAAGAATTTTTAATCAACGCTTTTAATAATGCTAAATGCTGTTTAAATTTAGACGACTTATTTGTTTGACGATTATTACTGAATTGAAATGTTTACACTTTTCACGTTAATCATTACTAAAATGTGTATTTATTAAACAAAATACTATTGAATAGATACAATTTATATTTACAGGGACTGTATGAAATTTATTTCTTCATTCAGATTAACACTGTTTATTGGAAAACCGGTAAAAACTCAACCCAGGATTTCCTCTCTAAATACACCCAACAACACAACAAATCGTGCCACGGTTTTTTTTCGATATTTTTTAACATTTTCCGGCTTTATTTTCAAAAACACTCGTTTGTAACACACGCGTTTGACAGCTGATTATCAAAAGTTGTACATTTGTTCCGATGTGGTGGCGCTACTAGCGATACTTCTTTAGCGTATAGTTTGGAATTTTCTATTATCTTTGGCCCTGTTTATTATAATTCTGACCACGGTCTTATATAGGATCGCGATTTTGAAAATTAAATGATAAATGTCAAAGTATTTCAAATGCCTTGAATAGCAGTACCAATTTTAAATATTAAAAATACCAAAGTATATTGACTTACAGTACCAAGATAATCAAACGTGTTAAATTCAGAATAAAAAAATAAACTCTACCTTGATAGGTTAAGGTCATATTACATTTAAGGAAATCGATTTTTTACAAAACATAGTGGCATTTAAACTTATTAAAGCAATTTGTAAGCACATAAATATTATAATTTTTATATTTATTAGAATTAATAAAAGCGAATATTTTATACATTCGATTTTTAGTTAAAACAATTTTAGTGTTAATGATAATGACGATAACGATAAGGATATAGTATTTAAAAAATAACAATTTTGATATGAATCAGGTTAATTGTTAATAAATATACATAAACCAGGTTATACATATTAAAGGCATTTTTACACGTGATTTTTTTAGATAATACATGATAGTATATTATGCCAATTTTATTTGCTAAACATTTGACATCTGTCAACTTTAAACGGATTTAACCTCACTTTTTTCTAATACATAACAAAGCTAACATCATCCCGTGACTAAAATCCCAAAAGCCACTATTGCTAACTTAAACCCGCGAATAAAATCACATAAATCACCATAAAGTCCCAGCTCGTCAATGTAGAAGTAGATAATAGTATATTATGTTTCAAGTTCTATAAACGTTTTATTAGGCACGAGCGAAGCTTGCGAGCGAGTGATTAATAAAAACGAGTGCCTAGAGAACTTTATAAAACGAGTTGCATACCATACTTTATCTACAACGAACGCAAAGAAGAATTTAACGCAAATTTTATTTGTTAAACATTTGATGTCTGTCAACTTTAAACGGATTTAATCTCACTTCAGCCCCTGACTAAAATGCACAAAAGCCACTATTGCCAACTTCAGCCTGCATGACATGCAACATTTTATCTTCAAATCATTAATTTTATTTGTAAAACGTACAATAATATTAATTATTAAAAGTGGAAAGTGAGGTTAGATTATATATGACAGTAGTGGAATTTTTTGATTGGTCCAAACGGGTTTATTACAAACTAGGAGTTTTTAGTTTTTTTACCTGATTGGTCTAAATTATTTTTACAACCTGACTGTCAGACCGATTTAACCTCACTTTTTCCCAATTTATATTAAAGCTAACTTCAGCCCGTGACTATCTATAGCCTTTATAAAGGCTATAAGTCACAGCTTGTCAATGTGGGAATGAATAAAAATTTATCTACATTTAATGTATATTTTGTTATAGATAAAATACCAAGGACATTATTTATACTCTTTTACAAATAGAACGTATTTTTGGCGCTAATCCAAAAGACAAAAGTGGCAATATTTATGCAATATAAAACTAGTAATACCAGTAATACGTACTTAACTCGATTATTATTAATTAGATAACACATTTTACAGTGAAATGATATATTTATAACATTAGCGTATTAGTAATACAATTAAAATATTTGCTACCTTGAAAATAATCTAAAAATACAACACAATATCAAGCAAATCATTTTATTTTACATTTGTTAGAAGTTAAATAATGTTAGTATTATTTTATTGCTAAACTTAATCAAATAATTTAAAAATTTGTAGATAGGCCGTTAAAAATGTATAAAAATTTAACAGTTGCCCACACAAGTTAACAAAAAAATAAAATAAAATTACATACATTGGCCTACCTTGTTTAGGCGGGGATCTCTGAGATGGTCAATTCCCATAACTTGTGAGGGTGTAAGGAAATCTCCACAAACTTCATGGTACTCCCTTTTACTTCCATCCTCGTTTTTTATTACTTTCAAAGTTTCAGTCAGCACACCTTTCTGGCCCTGTATCGCCGATTTCGACAGACCTGATCTAAAAAATAAGTTTTTTGGTTAACTTTATAAAAGGGGCTTAATTAACATTTTTAGAACGGTCCTGTTTCCTCCCAGCCTTTGCATAGATTTAATCAAGATTGCCATTTAATATACAAGTTAAATCGTATAATTTAAATATTAATTTAATATACGTAAAAGATTGTGTAATTATAAATGTGTCAAACAAAAAATAAAATCAACCTAAATTCGTATTATTCCATTTATTGGCCAGCGGTTGGCAAGGGGTTATTTTTAAACCCGGTGTTTTTATTGCTGGCCATCAACCAAACGTATTTATTAAATGTTTTTGTTTTGTTGGCTTCACTCAAAAAAAGTTATATAATAGGTACACTTAAAATATGATATGATAATAACAGAACTATTATTAAAATTGATGTAATCATCAAAAAAATGCAATTGTTCGCGGCTTAACGTTTTAGTTGATAAAATGACAAAAAATATAATAAACACACTCATATATCAATATTGATTAGATTCATCTTATCTTTAAAATACCTACCTATATAAAAAAATAGCAAGGAAATGCACGTGATTATATGAACTTGGCAACAGTGCGTTTATATTCATATTAGTTAAAATCTAGAGTGATAATCACATAGGTATTATTATAAAAATAAATATTGTTCTATGTTGTTGCCTATTTTTAAGTAATAAAAAAACAAACATAAACAAACAATATTCATGGATAGTATTAAAGTTAAAATTGCAAGTTTAAACAGTTAAGCGTTTTATATTAAACAAAACTACCTCATACATATACAGGGTGTCCGTTTTTCGAGGCTAAGCTTATCTTATCTCTGATGTTTTGAAAGCTAGCAAGAAAATTTTATCAGATTTGAATTCCTCTTAAAAAAGTACCTTAAGACATTATACATAAGTGCATTAATTAATGCTCTTATGTATAATGTCTGAATTAGAAAAAATTACAAAATCTCTTTTTTTACGATAAGTTTCACAAAAATTAAAAATTACAAGTTAAATTTCTTTTTAGATCACAAATCGCTATAAAAATGCGCAGTCATAGTGCCATCAATTATTTTATTTAACCCTGTAAATATTAACTTTCTTTATTTACAAATACATCCTATACCTACTGGCTAATGAATTAGTAAATTAAAATAAACAGTTATCAATCAAATAAGCTGTGAAACCAAAATATATTTTGTTTGCTTAGTGATGTCAAGTTTCAAGTTTTTTTTATGAAAATATTTTTAAAACTTTTTTTTATCCCAAAAACAATTGCGTTGCTAAATACTGATTGCCAGCAATAAATTCATTCAACTTTAATAATAAGAACATTGTGGGTTGAAAATTTTTTAAAAATATATATGTATGTACATATGTACATTAGGGTGGCCCAAAAAAATAAGAATATTTTTTTTCTCTTGTCTCTTGTGAAAATATGTTGGTTTGTCATGTTTTAAGAGCCCTGTCAACAGATCAGCTCCATTGAAAAATTTTTAGGGGTCGCTCAAGATTTTTAAAAATTTCCAAAATCGTCAAAAATTAGATTTTTTTTTATTTTAATTTTTTTTCTCGTTCGGATTATATTTTTTAATTTAAAAATAATAATGATTCTAAAAATTTCAAATGGATATTTTGATTTCCAAAGGTCGCTCAAAATTTTTTTAACTTTCAAAGTAGAGTATTTTGAATGGTTTCGAGCGACCTCTGAATATAAATACCAACGAACTTTTAGCGACCTTTAGAAATTAAAATATTGATTTGATATTTTCAAAATTTTTATTATTTTCTACCAAAAAAATAATATCGATACAAGAAAAAAAATTAAAATAAAACAAAAATTTAATTTTTGACGATTTTGAAAATTTTAAAAAATCTTGAGCGACCCCTAAAAATTTTTTAATCGAGCTGATATTTTGAAAGGGCTCTTACAGCATGATAAACTAACATATTTTTACAAGAGCCGAGAAAAAAAAAGATATTCCTTTTTTTTTTGGACACCCTAATGTACATGGTGATCCCCTATATGTCTCCCCCCTTTATGTTATCATTAAATGTTTTTTTAAACTGTTAGAAATCAAGAAGCCTCAGTAAGTATGCCAAAATTTTTACTGAAAAAAAATTACTATATATAGTGACATTATGTCAATATGTCTTGTTAAATAAGTAAAAATGACGTACTCAGACAGAGAAAGACAAACTAAACTGCTCGTCCTAAAAATCGACGCACCTAGTTTTTTGGAAAATATTTGAAAGCTCGTTATTGAAAAATTACTGAATCGATTTTGAAAATCTTTGAAAATTCCGAGGGGTAAACCGCTGCCAGAAATCTTGTACACTACTTCCTCTAAACATCAATACTTCCTCGTACTTCCCAGAAATTTTTCGTACTTCCCAAAAAATTTCGTACTTCCCAGTAATTCGCCATACTTCCTCATACTTTCCAGTACTTCCTCATACTTCCCACTACTTCCTCATACTTCCTAGTACTTCCTTGTACTTTTCGTCCTTCTGATCTTACTTCCTGCAATTCCTCAAAATTTGTTCTTGCTCCAATAGATAAAGGGTGATTCATTTAGACCTTTTTTTTTTAATTCTATATAAAACGCATAAAATAGAGTTGGATGGCGGAATCTTTATTATGACCTAAAAGAACGATCTTTGACATTTATTTTTTTTAAATAATTTCATTTAAATGCTGGCCGCGTACAGCGTGGTCCATTCGGAAGGTCCAATTTTCCATCACTCTTTCTAGCATTGCGACCGGTATCTGCCCAATTACCCGAGTAATGATTTCTCAATAAAGCTATTGTTTCGCGGGCTGTGTGTGCCGCAGCTCCGTCTTGTTAAATCAAAAGTCTTCGTCTATAATCCAGCTACGATTCAGGACTAAGAAGCCAACATTACTCGCCTCATTGGGCAGATACCGGTCGCAATGCTAGAAAGAGTGATCGAAAATTGAATCTTCCGAAAGGACCACGTACGCCGTAGTCCCGGACAGCATTTAAATGAAATTATTTTCAAAAAATAAATGTCAAAGATTGTTCTTTCAGGTCATAATAAAGATTCCGCCATCCAATTCCATTTAATGCATTTTATTTAGAATTTAAAAAAAAAGGTCTAAATGAATCACCCGTTACTTGTTTATAAATTGAAATCGAGATTGAAAATATCTAGCTATGATATAGCTTGCAACTAGCATTGAATTACTTTCTTTTTATAAAAAAATAGGTGACAAATACAAAAAACTTAATGAGTAATTTTTATTAAATAAAAATAAATTAATAAAATTAAGAATAAAATAACAAAAACATATCTTTCTCAAAATAAAATATATTAAAAAAACTAGTCATAAAATAAAGGTCTTTTCATGGTTTTATACATTTTAGAGATTTTTAAAAAATCGTTCCGTTTTAACTGGAAAGGACCACTTCCAATTAAATCTATAGGTCCGTAAAATATATATTGTTGGCTCACAATAGCCACATCCTCAGACTTCGGCCACACAAAGTAATTCAGTTCATACTTAAGAAATTTCATTGTGTATGTATCTGTTGATCTCTCTTCAATTACTTTACCTATGTACCATTTCTGTTCATAAAATACCGCATAGTATTTTTCTAGTACAATTGTTAATGAGATTTTTTTCTTTAATGAACTATTCTCTGGAGAGTCTGAATCATTTGAAAAGCATTCTGTATCCGTCGAATCGTCGTACAAGGGTTCATCAGAATCATTAGATGATGTGGCATTTTCATATGTTTTAGTTTTTACTGTTTTAGTTTTTGAGTTTTTTCGAGAGTTTTTATTTGATATTTTGTTTTTTATATTTTTGCTTGCCTTTCCACGATTTGCAAAGAATCTTCTTAATCTGTCAGTACTAACTCGACTGGAATGCTCATCGAAAAACCAGCATAAAGATGACTTTTTAAGAATTTTTGTTTTTTTATTTGTTAATTTTACTTCGACAAACGGTGAATCTTCGGTTAATTCGAATACCTTATTTGAGTAGTCTTTTAGTTGTAGATCATCAATTTCTTCTTCCGGCTTGTCATCAGATTCTAAAGAAAAATCAGCAAAATTATCAACATTAAGGTTCTGAAACGAATTCTGGTCTTCAATTTGTACTTCTCCATCATCTATTTCTATTTCTTGTTCGTCTAAATCATTAATATCGAGATCAATATTCTCAAGGTTATAAACTGGCATGTCAATATATTTCCATTCATCGGATTCGAAAATAATTCCAATATCCTTTACATCACGTATAGCATCATTTAAAGCTTGTATAACTGTTTCTTCAATATCCAGTTCTAAAAATTTGGACTCATTGAGTGTTACCGTGTTATGAATAGCTTTTTTCTCTTCTCTAGGAAAAACAAATTGGCCTTTCAAATTGTTTTTTATAGAATTGATAGCTTCGATTCTATCAATCCGATGCATAAAATCTTTAACACTGAAATTTATTACTGTAGAAAACGTCGACGTCATTGATCGGGCTGCACGAAATAATTGTTCACAGTTCTGACTATTCATATTAGATAAATCGAACATACCAGGCGTAAACGTATTAGAAGGATCTCTGCATTTCAAGATAAGTTTTATTAAATTATGAGCGTTTAATTCTATGCAAAGATAGCAATTGCTAGTTAAAAAGTTGTCTTTGATAGTATATTTTTTGCTGGCTTTGATCCAAGATCTCCATATACGAAGAAAAAATACGCAGTACCATATTCTGTGCAAACGTGCCTTTAGATCTAACTTATTGTCCAAAAATGATGTTAAAATAAAATTCATTAGTTTTAAATAGGCAACGGTTCCATTACTGTCTGGAATTTGGGATTTTAGATTTGTAGTTACAGCATCAGAACAAATTTTTTTAGCGGATAAGAAGTTCATTTTGTCCTCAGATTTCAAATCTGATAATGTAAGCATATGTTTATCCTTCTTTTCAAGTTTTATAAGTTGGTAAAGATGATCAACAGTAATAAAATATTTTCCTACAGGTAAAAC